CATTCATCTAAACATTATGACAATCCTTTTCCACTTCTATGTGTTATGTGTTCACACCAATACACAAAAACACATACCCACACAAACAGTTGCTCAATTCAGTAAATATTTCTTTAAGGATAACAAACGTGAGCGTAACTGTTAATACAGCACAAGGACTTAAATTCAGTTGGTTGCCATCACAGCGTTGTACTTCTTTATCCTTTAAGTCACATATTTGTGCATATAACTATATATCTTCTTTTTATGTAACCTATTTTTTTGCGCTATGCGTCGTTCCTCGGCACTTTTCTACTTTTGCGGTTGATAATCTGATTTGCTCCCCCTTCTCCTGCCCTTCTTCTGCCCTTCTCCTGTCTTTCATCAAAGGATCTTATGTTCTGTGCTGCCACGGGAGGCAACATAAACAATGTGTCTTTATTAAATTTTCGCGGTTATTTGACGCAAGTGTCATGTTAAATGCTTGTTAGATCCATAATCTTTGTGTATAAGATTGACGTCAATCACTCCTCATACGGAAATTTTAAACTCTTACTTCACATGCGTTAAATTTCAGGAAAACTTTTTTATACCAGAAATGATGAAACGTCACACATTGAACCGGCAAATGTATGTGTTTACGTACATACTCGTTCTTCCTAAATAGTCCCAATCACTATTCCGAGCAAACAATACGTTTGGTTTATCAGAATGTTTGTAACGCGGTGGAAGATATGTAGGAGGCAATGTACATAAGCCATATGTACTCTTAATCAGTTTGACAAGATGAATCGATTTAGTACTCGTAATTCTGTCACTCTGCCTTCATGTCTGGTTATAGGTAAATTTGTCACTCATTTTAAACTAATTAAATAACATTTTTATATGAATTTTTTTCGCGAAACCAGACAAATCAAATCCAAGAATCGATAAACTTGGTTGACTATAATTGGCAGCAACCATACAAAATAAGTAACTGCATTGTATTTTATTTTTATACTTTTTACTGTAAGTAAATAAATAGTTAATAAATAAAGTGTGGAGGGTATCAAACTATCAGCAAAGCCACATTGATGTCTTTTGTTTGTTATTTATCAGTATTTATGTTGATTGTAATCCATATATGAAATGTACGTCTAGAAGTGCCTATCAGTTCAAGAGTAAGGAAAATATACTCGATCGTAAAAGCATTTTATTTCTGAATCAATATATATGTCTTTAACTGTTATGCGGCTCGATATATACCTGAGAGAAGTTCCAATCAGTTTTAGAGTAACGAAAATATACTGTTATGCTGCTCGATATACACCTGAGAAACCTTAAAATGTATTCCGAGACGTTTGTTTGGTACAACTTTGATAGGAAAATAACCAATACTCAGAGATATGGAATCTATATCCTGAGGCAGTAAAATGTATTTACGAAGGAAGTACAAATTCCACGGATAAGTTAGAGGTATACCATAGATTTACTGAAGTGCCAAAATGTATTAACCAAAAAATTCGCGCTGGATAGAGAGAACAGATATATAGATTCAAGTATGATTCAAATAATACCTAGAGTATTACACAAGCTAGATCATTGAAATATATTAACAAATATTTTTTAAAACTTCTACCAAAGCAGTGAGAGAGTGCGAAAGATACCCGAGGTCGCACATTTTAGAAGACCTTCAAATATGTACATACGTATTTATTAAAATGTTATTATAAGTTTAGACGTGAAATCGCTCAACAGCCGGTACTGCGGCCAGAAGAGTCCTATTGTACCAATTTCATTTTTGATTACACAAAGCCCCTTAAAGTTTTGTGAACAAAGTCCAGAGCTAAATCTAGAGAAGAGTTCTTAATCTGTTCTGGTGACAGAAATTCCATATGAAACAAGTTTCTTCTGTGCCTTATTAAAGCTGGACAGTCACAAAGAATATGCATGGTAGTTTTCTCATCCTCGAGGCATAATCTGCATTTCGGATTAGCAAATAATTATAATTTATGAAGGTGATATTTCAGATCATAATAACCTGCAATGAAACCTGTTTACAACATTTAATTACATTTTGATAATTAAGGATGTCTTTGTAGGAGTACGGTGTTAACAGTGCTTTGCTTTGTCCTGGAAGTCCTGGAAAGTCTTCCCAGTACATCAGCAGCATATGATTTTCCCTTTCCTTCATCATTTGTTTTGTACTGGGCCAGTTTATCCCACGAAAGAGTTGAGGACCTGTAAAAGCAGTTTTTGATGCAGTTCTGGCTAGCCCATCAGCTTGTTCAGTTCCCAAAACTCCCCTGTGACCAGGAACCCAGTAAAGGCTTACCTTATTTCGAGCTGCAAGTAGCTGTAGGAGCTCATAACGTAAAATTGTTATTTAAAATTCATAGATCGTGACTTTAATGCATCATTATTATCGAATACAATTTTTCTATTACTAACCAAGGGTCCTTAAAACGAAGAATTGAAGTCTTGACATATGCAATATTGTATGTAATATTTTTTTGGCATAATTATGTTATAAATTTGCAATAATTAAATCTACTAAAAATTGACTTGAAAAATGTACATGTAGCTTTACGTTTTCAATTATGTCGCATGGTTGTTGTGATGTTCTGAACCTGTGCCTTACATCTCACGTATCCTGTTTATCAATTTGTCACGTATTTGAACGGATAACGCAGAAAAGGGGCAAATTTCAACCAACGTCGCAAAGGTAAAAATTTTGTAGCTGGAAAGTATTTTTATGATACCATTTAAAAATTATGTGTATCCATTTCAGAAAAAATTGCGGAGGCACCGTGCGATATTAGGTTAAAAATAAATCTACAAATAAAAAAATTGCAATAAAATCAGAATTTATATGTCAGAAAGGAAACGATGTATGGGTGTTTAGCCTGGTGGAACAGAGTGTGGCAAAATTGATAGCAATGAATAAAAAGTCAAATAAAACATAACTGAAAATCAATTTAGATGAACTGATTGCAAAATATATAATTTTTCACGTAACTGTATCTCACAGTATTAAAATATTTCACTCCTTAATATGCAGCTTGACTTTAATGGATTTTGATTCAATAAGTATTTTTGAGATGGACTTTCTTCCATCTTTAATATGTAGATATATTTAATTATAACATTCGGATTACTCGGATTACTGATTTGTTCAAGATAAGAATATTATAAGCTAACGAGTATATTTCTTAATATAGTCTTCTTTTATATCATTAGAGATTATTTGAAATTACTGACATTTCTTGACGAATCAATGGGGCTTTCAGGAATATCAGGAATAATAAGTGTTAATACTGTATTAAAGGCCAAACTCTTTTTTACCAAGGATTTAATAATTTGACGCAAATTCCTAACCTAACCTAATTTATAAAATTTCTTCTTCCGAATTTTTATTGAATTAATACAATAAACTCATTTAATTAGTTGGAATTATATACGTCTTCAATTATTTTTTCTTGTTAAAGATAATCGACATGAAATAAACTGCAAGGTTTTTAAAGAAACTGTGGCCATCACATTCCTAGCCGACTTTACGATCTTTGAGGTGGTTCATTTTATAATATTCATCGTTTTACTGTTCCTTCGTCTCGGATGTGTGTAATAGATATTCAATAATTGACTGATATAGAAATCATCTACAGTTCTTCAAAAACAATTTCAAACATTGGTTTGAAATCGTCACTAACCCATATGATATTTTATCAATGGTTTCTTTTGTGGTGAGAATTTATGGTGAATGCGTTTGAGTTCAAATTCATTTACTCAATTCTATGCAGTTGCAGATTGTATATAATTATAATATCAGATGCAGACTACTAATAGTAAAATATAGATGCCACTATAAGTATTATAGACAGTTTCTCACTATCGAGTTCATGTCAACTTCGTTGCATCCAAATATCAAAAAAACAAAAAGTAGGAAAAATGTAAGTTTCGAAACCTTTTTTTGATAAATCTATTTGCAAACCACATTTAAATAAAACTTTATTTATTAATTCGTATTTTTGCTACAACCCAGTAGCTGCATACAAAAAGTCACACATAGAAATACATAGTAAGCTTCTATTTGATCATGATTTGTACAATGGATTGCTTGAATGAACCCATATATTAAGAACAAGTAAAATATTGCTATATAGTAATTAATATGTAATAAGAATACTGCTTATTTACTTCACACACATTTTTTCCTACAGTGAAGAACCTTATCAAATTATTTTGAAACAGTATGTGCTACAATTATAGATGTATTCTTTTGACAAAAATGCTCCAATAGAACACACCGCTTATAAATAAAAGCAAAATGTTATAAGACATTTGGTCAATGCGCCGCTCTCTTTGTATCCTTATTTCACTATTTTTCTTCGTTATCATGGATAAGGCCTAAAAAATGTGTACTTTTATATAAATTCAATTACAATATAAAATGCTCTTCAATAACTTTTTGTGTCATTCATTTAATATATGGTATATTTGTATTACAAAACTTTTTTATGAAATTATCTGCAGGTATTTTTGCATTTACATGTATTTATCAGCTACAAATTTGTTCAAAATTTTTTTATTTAACATATGTTTACTGATTTAGGCCGTGCTGCCAAGATATTCTTAAGCAACCAAAAGTTATTCTTTTGAAGCATTTATGTCAAAAGAACACATTTTTTGTTGAATAAAAAAATATTCACGAAAACAATAAAACAAAAATAACTTATTCAACTGATTTTGTTTACATATCATTACATTCAAAGGCAAGTGCATTACCTAATTTGAGAAATATAAGTAGCAATCCACTCTGCAGACAATAAGCAACTAAGAAATAATTATGTATTATTTTCTAAATTTAACAATAGCTTAACAAATGCTTTGAATATTGCATTGTAGCTGCGACAAAAAAAAACTAATATTTATATAGAAATAGGAGAGAAATATATTTATTTTTTATATAATATAAATTTATTCATTTCACTTCTTAATTTCACAAATAAAATATGAACTTTCCTTCAAGTAAATAAAAATCATCTGGCAACATTTTCTTTCTATTGATTTTTGTTATGAATTCGCGGGCTAATCTTTCAAAGTAACCAAGGCAGTGAAAAAATTTATTATTTTCTGTTTTAGAATGGAACCTGGCATAATAAAAAAGCTAGATGAAGCTGTAGTAAATCGCATTGCAGCTGGGGAAATTATACAAAGACCAGCAAATGCTTTGAAAGAGCTTATTGAAAATAGGTTTGCCTCTTAGATACGATTGCCATAAATAATACTAAAAACCGTTTTGATTTCAGTTTAGATGCAAAATCAAATTATATACAAATTACCATCAAATCAGGTGGCCTTAAATTGCTACAAATACAGGACAATGGGACAGGTATTCGCAAAGAAGATTTGGAGATTGTCTGCGAACGCTTCACTACTTCAAAATTGACTAAGTTTGAAGATCTAACCAATATTGCGACCTACGGTTTTCGTGGTGAAGCATTATCCAGCATAAGTCACGTAGCGCATTTGACTATACAAACAAAAACTGCGCAAGTAGCTTGTGGTTACAAGTAAGTCGATGTTTACACTTTATTAAATAATTACTATTAAATGTGTTTTTACCAAGAGCGTGTTATGAAGATGGCAAATTAAAAGCTCCTCCTAAACCATGTGCTGGCAACCAAGGCACAATCATATCGATTGAGGATCTATTCTACAACATGCCACAGCGAAAACAAGCTTTAAAGTCACCTGCTGAGGAGTTTCAAAAGTTATCGGATGTTGTTTCAAAGTACGCTGTTCATAATTCCAAAATTGGTTTTATTTTAAAAAAGTTTGGTGAGCAGCCTACAATAAAAACAAATGTAGGGAGTACACAGGAACAAAATATTCGTTATATATTTGGGGCAAACATTGCAAAAGAATTACTGCCAATAGAAATCGAAGACAATATACATAAATTTAGATTGAAAGGATGTGTTACTAAAGTAAATTATTCAGCAAAAAAAGGCATAATGATGTTGTTTATTAACCATCGGTTGGTAGACTCGGCAGGTTAGATCTATAGTTCACACATTATCATTTTAAACATTAAATTTTTTTGTAGCACTTAAAAGTGCCATAGATAGTGTATACAGCGCGTATTTACCTAAGGGTATGCATCCATTTATTTACTTAAGTCTTGATTTGGAACCTACAAATATTGACGTAAATGTACACCCAACAAAACACGAAGTGCATTTTCTCTATGAAGACGATATCATCGAAAAAATCAAAACTTACATTGAAATACAATTGTTGGGCAGCAATGATACCCGAGCTTTTTATAAGCAGTTAAAGTTGCCTGGAGTAGTGGAAAATAACGAAAATGAAGATAATCGAGGTTCGAAATCAGAAGTAGATAAAGTTCAACCGAAAGAAATAATACGAACTGATGCAAAAGAGCAAAAGTTAGATAAGTTTTTAATAACCCAGCAAAATCCTACACAACATATAAAGACCGAGTTTAACACGTCGCAATCTTCATTATCACAGTCCATGAATGATGAAAGTTTTCGTGTCACTGCCGCTAACATTTCAAAAGAAGTTCGTTTAACGAGTGTATTGAATATGCAAAAACGTGTAGAAAATAATTGTAGTGTCCATATTCGAAAAACCTTAAAAGAGATGGTTTTCGTGGGCGTTGTCGACAAACATTTTGCATTATTTCAATATGAAACAAGGTTGTATCTTTGCCATACTTTAAAATTCTGGTAAGTAAATGCGCGATACATTCATTTCATAACATAATATATATATATGTATATATCATTTCTTAGTGAAGAGCTCTTCTATCAACGATTGTTGTTCAAGTTTGAAAATTTGCCTCAGATTAAAGTAGAACCTAAACTTCCTATTAAACAACTAATTGTATTAGCACTAAACACTGAAGAAAGTGGTTGGACAGAGGAAGATGGGGATAAATCCGAGTTAGCGTCGCGTGCTGCAACAATACTGGTAGAGAAAGCAGCTATAATGCGCGAATATTTCTCATTAAATATATCTGACAAAGGTGAATTAGAAACGTTACCTTGTTTGGTAGAAAATCATTGCCCAAGCAACATATATCTGCCACTTTTCTTATTGCGTCTCGCTACGGATGTTGAGTGGGAAACAGAAGAAGAATGTTTCGAAACATTTTGCCGGGAAACAGCACGATATTATACTATAGTGTCAGAAGTAGAATTACTGTCTGATGTAAACCGACATAATTGGATAGTAGAACACATTATTTATCCAGCAATGAAACGCTACTTGCTGCCCCCAAATAAATTGAAAAAAGAAATGTATGAACTAACAAGTTTACCAAAATTATATAAAGTGTTTGAACGTTGTTAATTTCTAATGAAACATTGTGTATTTGCTTATTTTAATTTATTTGACTTTAATAATATAGTTTTTCTTTATATGAAACAAAACATTTCTTTGTGAATATACAGGAATTTAAGACACAATTCACAAGTCAGGCTGCCATAAACGTTTATCACGTTCTGCATTGGCTACATGCTCCTTCAACATACGCATAATTTCATTATCACGTTCTGGAGGAGTAGGTTTAACTCCCGTAGCCCAGTAAAATATATCCCAGTCGTTTGAAACACCATTAATTAACTGATCATACTGTGCTGTAAGCTCCGCATCCATGTCCTTCAAATACTTAGCCGCAAATGTACTGAGTAACAAGTCATTTTCAAGCATACCACGTTTACGCGATTGGTAGATTAAACTAAAAATTTAAACCATTATTTTTATATATTTAAGTGTAAACAGTGTAACTATTTAAGATTTACTGTTTATGTGTTTGCATTGATAGGAGGATTGCATTCAAACTTACCGTTGTTTGCGTACATCGAGCGGCTCATTCGGTCTCATTGGGTACTCTGGCAAGGGTAAATAATCCGGATCCTCATAGTCAATTATAGGCAAATCAGAATGGTTAAAAATTTCTTTCTTTGGCGGTTTACCTCCAGATGACCCACCTGCATTAGATGCATTTCGTTTGCCTAACCAATACGGTAGATATCCCCTGGGATAATTTAAACTCTATGGATAGCATTTTCATATTATAAAAAGTTACGCAATCAAAATGTTTGCAATAAATTATATAATACTTTAATATATCACTTAATACTTACACTAATTTTACGCAACATATTTTATAACTTCTTTCGAAAAAATTTAAATTTTTTACACTAACAACCACAGCAATAAAAACAATTTATTTCTGACAATTGATTTTAGTGTTGCCAATCAATTTTATTTTGGTACGTTAAACGGCTAATTTCCAAGTTTAAACAAAATTGATTTGAATTCAATTTTTCAAATAAATTTTTTTATATTCAATATTTAAAAATAATTAACTGTCATTATGCCACTGAATAATTGAAATGAAATTAAACAAGTTTTAAATAGGTTCCTTAGTTTGTCTATTTTTGTAAAGGTAAAAAAATATTAACAGAGATACAGCTTAGATTTATTTAAATTTATAATACGCCAAAGCTGATACACCGATTAATAAACTTGTTAAAACAGCATATCTCTTGATTCTACGTGCTTTACGTTCAGCTACAATTTCATCAAAGTCGATATGCAATATGTTCTTTTTGGGACTGAATGATCTTAACTAAAATATAGAAAGTTAATTAAAAATGTTTATGTGAATATTTAAATTCTAACATATTTAACAATTTTGCTAAATTTCTCTAACTCTTTGCGATAAGCCTTAAAAGCATTGCTGAATTGCCTTAAATCTTCGTTTTCTACAGTTCCAAGCTGGCCTCTTTGTATGTTCTTTGTAATATAACGTAACGAAGCTTTTGTTATTATTATTTGTTGTAAATGATTGGCAGCGATCATGAATATATCACTAAACCTAAAACAAACATATATATAAACAATATACATTGGTAATTGAAAAAATATACTTCTCTGTTTCTGACTTCTTTACCACGCCAATAGCTTTAGCTGACCAGTGATATAAATGATAACTGTGAAATGTAAAATATGTATGAAAGTTTGATATATATATAACAGCTTAAATTAGTTGCAAGAAACTTGCAGCATATATAATGCTATTACAACCAAAACATGTCAATTAATTAGCAAGTACTTAAAATTTTAAATATTATTTTAAAATTATTCAAAGTGACTTACTCTAACAAAATAAGCGCTATTTTAGTACGATAGAATGGAAGTTTAATTCCAAGTGCCTTTAACTCCTCGTCTGTCATGCATAAGAATTCTGCTAATGAGACATTTCCTTTAGCAAAATATTCTAAAAGTTTTTCCATACCAACAGACTTTAAAATTGAGCTTATTTCTGGAAAATATTCTGGGCATTCCGATTTCAAGAACAATTGTGGTATATGATCACGTATAGAATTGTATTGTTTATATTTTATTGGAACATGATATACTTCTTCCTTTTTTGGTAATAATTCCAAAATATTAAAATGTCCATGATATTCAGCAAACAAATGAGGTGTATATCCTTTGCCATTTGGCGTAGTTAAAGATACACCTACATCAACTAACATCTTTACAATGTCCTCGTGATTACCCTCTATAGCAAAAAATATTGGAGAGTAACCAAAATTGTCCACTGATTCAAGCGAAGCATCTTTTATTAACATAGATACAACATTTCGAAATCCATTTTTGCAAGCAAGCATAAATGGCGTTACACCGTATTTGCTAGAAACATTGATTACAGCACCATTGGTGACCAATATTAAAACAATTTCTCCTACGATCTGTTTATCTTTGTTATAAGAATCACATGCATTCATCAAAGGAGTTATTGAATCAACCTGCTTATTGACATTGGCTTTCTGCTCAAGTATTAGAAATTTAACAATATCTAGATATCCTTCTTTACACGCAATTAACAATAGGGTTGAATCTAAATAAAGACATTCCAGAAAATTTTGTTTAAAATGTAAGTAATAAGAAATACATCACCATTAATTACTGCATCTACGTCGATTTGCTCATTAATAATTTTTTCCTTCAGACGTTTTATATCTCCCTCCTTTACTACATCATACAGACTATTTTCGCTTTGTGGTATCCAATGGAAACGGTTCTTGTATTTATCCTCTTCTGGAACCTTTACGTCACACTTAGTACATTCTTTTAATTTCAAATTTATTTACATACCGTAGAACCGTAGTAGAATTTGTCGTCCTCATCCGAGTCGGACGAATATGGCGGGCGAAGTGAGTAGCTCATTTTTAACAGAAAACTCTATTTACAAATGTATTTAAATATAGTTTGCATAAATATTAAAAACACTTCCAAGTTCGATGCTTCACAATCCGCACAAAATTGAATGCTTCAAACGTCGAAAATGTTTATTTTGACTTATTTTAGTTGCGATATTGCCACATGTCACGCTCATTGTTTTCAAATATTCAATATTGCCACATCTGTATTTTAATAGTATATATAGCAGATTTTTTTTGTATATGCTATATAGGCCGTGTGCGAGTAAATTGAGATAAAGTAAATTGAAATTTCTCACTGCACTTATGTAAATATTTATTTATTTATTTATTACACTTATTTATTATTTTTGTTTAAAAGTTTTTTAATTTATTTAATTAACATCTTATACAATTTTTGCAATGAAAAACATCTAATTTTTATCTAATTCGCTGCCATACCTACATAATTTACTATTTTCTTCAATTTACCATCAATTATTTGAACTCGCACAAGGCCTATATCATGCTTTAGTTATACGGACTACAAATTGACATAAGCACGTTTTACTTAGATCGCATGTGTATATTGTGTAATTTTTATAAATAATGGTGTATTAACCTATAAATGGGTTAATGGTGCATGTTGTCGAGTATTTCTTGAATTTTTCAGAATGTGCGCTATTTCCATTGTTGCTTTTGCTTCCAATAAAACATAGCTCTTATAAATGAAATATTTGTTTCTCATTATTCTGGCAACGCTCTCCCATTGGTTCATATTTTTTGTGCTTAGTTCTATTCTTTCTTCTTTGTTGCTTTTGTACTCGTTCGCATTTTTTGTATATTGTTGAAAATTTTTAATATATGAAAATTGTTTTTTGTAATAGTTAAACAACTAGAAACCTATTTACAAATGTTCCATTGAATATTTAATACATTACAACCACTTTCGGATGTAGGAGATGTACATAATATACACAGCAAAGGGTAACGGTTCTATAAGAAAAGAAAAGAAAAATGAATATGAATATAAACAATCAGTTTTTTACATATTTGGTTATTGTTACAAAAAAATATGTATGTTTTTTATAGTTTTGTATTAGAGTTTCATTGATTTAAGTAAATAACCATTTCGGTAGCAGTGAACTCAACATACGTAGTCTCAGACAAACATTACTCCACCTTTTAATCTCATTTGCACATAATTACAAACATAAAGGAATTTGAAGATATGAGTAATGTTTAAAATCGCAAGTGGTTTCTTAATTTTGTTCAAAGATTAAAGTGATATTGCACTTCGATAAATTAATTTTGCTTTGCGGTTATAGTAAGTAGCGAAAATTTCCATGCATTCCTGAAGCGTCAGTTTTACGAAATATTTTTAAGTGAAGTTTATTACCAGATTATATTTAATAAACATTATTTTTAATTTATTTTTCTTCAGATACATTTAACTAACAGCAGACAGGAAAATGTCACTTCGAAAGTGTTTTCCTTGTCTGCAATTCAGAAATGAGGAAGTCATTACTAAGTTGAATTATAGCAATAAAGTCTTGACAGATGAGTTTCCAGAAGTATGGGAACACGAACGGACATTAGAGGAGCTACAATTAATCTCTGCTAGGGTAAGATACTATAAAAATTGTAACTTAAAATTAATGCGTTCAATTTATTTTATTAGTTAAATTCCTTGCCACCACAATTGTTTTATTGCAAAAGTTTACGTATCTTAAATGTTAGCAACAATAATCTTGAAACCATACCCACTGCCATTGGTTCATTACGTCAATTACAGAACTTAGATCTTAGTCGTAATCGTAAGTGCAATATAATTCATTTAGAAAATGAATATTATATAATAGATTTATTGTAGTGATTTGCAATGTTCCCGATAATATCAAATCTTGTAAAAACTTAACTTATTTGGACCTAAGCTGTAACAATCTCCAACGTCTGCCTGATGCAGTCACAAGCCTTATAACACTACAAGAATTGCTGCTGAATAGTACTTGTTTAGAGTTTTTGCCTGCCAATTTCGGACGCTTAGTAAATTTGAAGATTTTAGAACTTCGACTAAATAATCTTATAACATTACCAAAATCGATTGCACGACTATGCAATCTGCAACGTTTGGATATTGGAGCGAATGAATTTACCGAATTGGTGAGTATATAAATTTAATTCAGCACATCAGCTCTAAGCAATTTATTAGAGATAGTAGTTAATTATTTAAGTGAAAATAATTAGGAGAAGTTAAAATAATTGCTAGAGTTATGAGCTTCTATAAATGTATATTAAAAAGAAATATATAATTCTTGTTGTAGCCGGAAGTTGTGGGGGAGTTAAAACAATTGCGAGAGTTATGGGCTGATCTAAATCAAATACGGCGTATGCCACCTAATATTGGAAAATTACATGAGCTGCAGCATTTAGAATTAAATGGTAATTTACTTGATACACTACCAAATGAAGTAGGGCAACTGTCCAACTTGGATGTCCTGTCCGTATGTAGCAATAACTTAACGTCTTTGCCATTCAGCATTGGAAATATGAAATCTCTAGTCTTATTAAAATGCGAATATAACGATTTACGAGAGCTGCCAGACAGCATATCCAACTTAATTAATTTGGAAGAATTCGTTTTAAGCCATAATCAGATACTTCGTTTGCCAGCAACTATTGGAATGCTAAGAAAACTGCGCTTTCTGTTTGTCGACAACAACGAACTAATTACAATACCTGAAGAAATAAGTAGTTGCACGAATTTAAGCATACTCAGCGTTAGTTATAACAAATTGAAGGAATTGCCTCAAAATATTGGACACTTAACTGGCTTAAAAGTTTTGAATTTAGTGCATAATCAAATTTGTACTTTACCTGTTTCTATTCTAAGTTTAGTCAATTTAACTTCTTTATGGATAAGTGATAACCAATCGCAACCTCTTGTGCCACTACAATATCTTGATGCAGGCACAAAGACACAATTAACTTGCTTCATGCTACCACAAGTTCGTCTTAGCACTGTTCACTTCAATAATTATAATCAGGAAGCGTACGATTTTTATAACTCAACATCAGATCAGCAACAGCAGTCAACAAGTTCCAAAATGCCGACTGGTGCATCCACATGTAGTGGTGGTAACATATCATCAAAACACATATGCTTTGCTGAGGAAGCAACTGTTATGAATGGGACAACTGAAGAAAATGAAACAGCTAAAATATCAATTGTCGAGGTCCAACCAAATGAAGTGGGTTTAATGCGTTCATCGACTCCACATCCTAAAGAGTTGCGTTTAATGGCAAAATATTTACGAAATAGTCAACAGAAATTACCCAATAAACCACCTGAATTTATAAATATTAAAGAAGCCAGGGTAATGTCAAATACAAGTAACAACTGTGATAATCTAAATCAAACACTCGGTACAAGTGCTACAAATGAAAACGCCTTAACTGATAATCAACAACAGTATAGCGTACATGAACTAGCCCATCCAGCACAACTACAATTTATGTATGGCGTACCAGAGCAGATAATACAGTACGAACCAATATACTATCAACAACAGCTTACACCAGTGCCAATATCAATGTCCATGCCTGTTACAGTTAGCAACAATTGTGCTGAACAACAGAATGTTATCTATCCACAAATGAACGATGTAAACAATTATCAGATTTATGATTACAAACAACAGGAGGCGCAACAGTTGCTGTCCTCCTATGACTATGATACAAATAACCTGCCTTTGCAACCAATAAACGAGCCCCCACCTTATCATATAGCTCGTGCATTTACTAAAAAAACGCCTAAAGATCTTACGGACTATGAAACAATACGAAACCAGCAACAGAAGCAACAGTTATACGAAATTCAACAGCAGCAAATGCAGATGCAGATAATACAACAGCAGCAGCAGCAGCAGCAACAACAACATCAAAAACAATTGCAACACCAAATACAACAACATCAACAAAAAGATCAGCTGCAAGATCTGCAGCAACAAGTTTCGCAACAAAAAGAAGATATTACTTTTGATTATGAAAACAATATACGAGAAATGGAGACTGCGAATCTGTCAACACCCAATGGAATTCAACCAGTGTATATACACAGTCAGCAGTTGAAACAAAATGATAATGAATTATACACAACAAACGCATCAGCAACGGAAGACATAGCCAACTCACATACGCAATTGAAAAGCAACCAACAACCAAATAACGTTAGCAAGGAAATTGCGATCCCTAATCACAGTACAACAGAATCAAATAATAACACCAATAGTGGTGAAAAATCCAAAACTCAGAAGAAAGCGTGGCTTTTCGGCACACATAAAAATCCTACTGTGGTAAGATTAATTTATTTTATGTTTATAGAGATTATGAATGTTTTTAACTACTTTTTGAATTAATATAAATTACTTATCCTCGTTGAGTGTTCTTATCAATAACTTTTTTTTGCCAATTTCTTATATTTTTGATGCAAATTTTTTTAGAAACAAGTAGTTATTTTATGGGAAAATCATATTGGATTTGAAATCGCTGAATTACCAGACAAGGTGCGTAATATAATCCTAGTTAAATATAAATAATAAATTTCTTGTTTTACTTTTAGAACGGTATATATGTGTCATCGACTGTGCCAAATACCAGTGCTGCTCGACTTTTGTTTGTTAACGATAAATTATTAGAAATTGATGGACATGATTTTTCAAACATCAGCATAACCGAAGCTAAAGATATTTTATCCAATGCTGGAGCCATGATAAACATAATGCTGTCGCGACACTAAATATTTCATTCCAATAAAAGTATTTATATACATTAAGAATTTTTAAGTTATTTATAGAAATTTGAAAAAATAGCTTTGAGAAATTATTTTAGTAAAAACATAAGTTAAACGAATTCCATTATGTTAAAGCTTTATGATATATGTAATTTAAACAGTACCAATAGTCTTCCCAGTGAAGTGTAATTTAGACGAGAATAAGTTTTTTTATATGTATTTTCTCTATTGAAAATAATTTATATAATAATTGTATAAAAGTAAAAGCAATATTAAATGTGCAATGCTAATTTCTAAAAAGCATATTTAAGCAATTATATCTTGTGGAAATATAAGAACAAATATACATAATTAATTGAAGTAGAAATATTTACAAAACATTCTTCCTTTAATATTCTGAATTTTTAAATGAGTATACATTATGAAAAAAATAACTACTTAAATTTAGCCAGCGTTTTAGTATGAAAAAAAAACAATATTATATATAATTTGTTTTCATATATAATAAAATATTTGTATATAATAATAGATTTAACACATACATTTGTTAAATTTGTTTTTAATATATTGATAAAATTATAGAACTAAATGTTGTAAGCCAAATTTTCAAAGCCAATCACTTTTGTAATTTTATAAGCAATATTCAGTATTTTATCGAAAACTGCGAAGTTTGATATATTCAAGTTAAGCACACGCAAGTTGTTAATTAATGGGTTTTTTATATTTAAATTAATATTGGATTTTAAATAAAATAGGCATAAAATATAATCAATACTAAAATAATTAGTTTCGCATTTTTTTAAATATTTTATATATTATATTAATTCAAGTAATTTCTAAATATTATTTTACATTTATAAACAATTGATTAAACATTATTTAAACATATATAATTTATAACAAAAGTATTTTTTTTTTTCAAAATCATGTTTATATTTATTTATATAAGATAAATGAACCAATGGATAAAAAACAAAATTTGGCCTTATATCCGTCCAAATCTAATGCACCAACGATGTTCATCTGAATTACCTTATTGAAAACAAACGTATATATATTTCAAGCTTAGACATTTAATATACCATCAAGTATACTATAAAAGTATTATTTTTTAAGATTGTTACTTATAATTCAATAGGCGAAATTCGTTTTATTTAACATATTAACCATACATAACAACTGTAAACATTTGTTGTTCTAACAGAACAGAACAGAACAGAAACCCATTTATGTATAATTATATATTCATAATAATTAAAAATATCTAAAATAAAATTAATGTATATTGCAAGCATTTACGTAATCCAATAAGGTAAAAATATCACTTAATGCTTCATGCCAAGTCTAAAGTGCTATTCATACATACATTTTTTATTAAATTTTTTCATAAAAATATTTGTACAAAAAATAGTTTTAAATATTAAAATAAGTAGTAAACTTTATGTGACATAAATTATTTACCTAATAACCACAATATTAGTAATCGAAGGCATTTAATTAAACAAATTAGAAACCATAAATATTAGAACAAAATATATTTAAACTTTTTCTATACAATTAAAAATGTTTTTTAAAAAAGTTGTAATTTATTATACGTTATAAGATTTTGTTAAAAACAAACATAATTATACATATATTTAAAATAATTGTTATTTATATACTACTATAGCTAATTTATACGTATATGTAACTATTTACTTTAAAGTGTCTTATGAAAAGTATTGTTAATTAAATATATTAAATATGAATTCTATAAAAATTAATTGAAATGAATAAATTGTAGTAAGTGATATATAGTTGTTTTGTTTGCCTTTAAAAACTCACACAAAAAAGCTTTAGAAATCTTGAGAACTAGATAAATGATATTGAGAACGACGATATTATCGGATATTCAATAGGGGTATTCACGAGTTCGGGTAACGAGCTCGGTAACAGAGTAACGTATTGAAAGTGCAAAGCAGCAACAACAAAATACATATCGAGTAATGCGTTGCAACATTACTCAAGCCTTTGGTTAAAATATTTTTTTCGCGAAAACATGATCAAATATGCTAAAGCTTATTTTACGAGCTGATTATCATTTTCATTAGATAAAGCATTGTATAAACGGTTTATATCCGCTGTATTAAGTGGGATGTTTTAATTATCATCGTATATAAAGTGAGCAAAATGAATGGGGCTGTGAATACTCTTAAGTGTAAACGCAACACCTCTTAAGATGTTGTATAACTCTTAAGTGTATTTATAGATTATGAATAACAGACACAAATCAATGACGGGATAATAATATATTTCTGTATTTGTATGTTTAATCTGTTTAGTCCGTGGGATTATGTCAATTCGAGGTATCAGTGAAGAGCGAACATACAAGTTTATTGCGAAAACGTACCTAGTACTTACAGGTATCCGATTGGGAGTGTGAAATTGTTTTGATGCTCGTGTTACCTATTATGACTCCCCAGTAACAATATTATAGGTTCAAATTTAATTAACCTAATATATATTTTCAAATTTAGTGCACAGAAATAGTTATTAAAAGTGTGACTATTAACTGCAGAATCATCGATACGTATCATTAATAACATTCAATAAATATTAACTGATAAATCAGGTTATTTAAATGATTCTTATAAGCTGCGTATATATGTAATGTAAATTTTAAATTGAAATCAATTAAATATGGATTATATCATAAAATCAAAAATAAGATTATTTTATGTAAAAAACTTATATTTGCTTCTTACCATTTTTGTTGGCTGATAACTATTACTTATCAAACAGGTGTTCAGAAGCGAAATATTTATGGTTTTAAAAAATACAAAAAGATAAGCTCACTTCATTACATATTCCCCAGCCGATTATTAATAATCCCAAATGTAAATAACATATAATAGCGACTCGCAATCGAATTCTTATCAACTGTGACCAACTGTACAAAGTTGTATTTGTACTTGGGTGCATGATTATCAAAACCGGTCACTTATCACTTATTGAGCGCTTACAGCTGTTCCCACAGCAATGTAAAGTTCGAGTTATCAGGTTAACCGACAAAAGAGATCCGAGTGCACATGCACTTAAAAAATCTTAAATGCAACATAAACATAAACAATCTAGAATCGGTGCAGCAATAAAACTGCACTGCATGCAATTATTTTGAAATTATCAATAGGTTAAAGAGTTTATGGTCTCATCAAGCTACTTTGTTGGAGTGACGTATTAAAAAATTAATACGTATAGTATTTAATTGAAAAAAAAAGTTTAAGTAGAGAGGAAAATAGTATTTCGATTAAAATTAATTTAAATACTATAAGATTGTACTCAATTAATTACAAAATCTTTAAAATAATTTTAACTTTAATTTTATAATATTTAGAGTTAAATATTAACTAGTTGAGAATTCACAGGGGCGGGTTCAATAATATATACAATAATTAAACTACTTATAAGTAACACTCGTATTATATATAAAATTTTATTATTGAAAATATTATATATTCAAAATTTGCTCATATCCACATTTCTCGAAATATTAGTGTATTTAATTTAACATTTATTGATTTTGAAAAGGCTTTCGACGCGTTTAAGAGAAGTTACATATGACTAGCATTAAACGCTAAAGGTATTCCTAATAAGATCATTAATATTCTCAATAAGAGCTACGAAGGGGCCACGAGTAGAGTTTTACATGAAGGTACTCTTAGCGACAGCTTTAATTGCAACAGTGGAGTGCGACAGGGCTGCGCCCTCTCACCGTTACTGTTTATCCCAGTCCTAGACGTCGTTCTAGAAGCTGTAGAAGAAAGCCTAATCGGCATTGGTTGGAGGCTGAATCAAAAGCTTGGTCATTTTGAATATGCAGACGATGTAGTATTGTTAACAAACATGCACACTGATATGCAAACTCTTGTTAATAACGTATGTGAGCAGTCATATAAAGTCGGCCTCAAAATTAACGCATCAAAGACAAAAACAATGAGAACGAAAGCAAGCAATCAATCGCCCATCCTTCTGTACGATCAAAACATTGAAGACGTGCAGGAACTCAAATACCTGGGGAGTATAGTCAACAGCGAGGGTGGCACGTCAAAGGACATCGGCAGTAGAGTGAAAAAGGCAAATGGCTCTTTCGCATCGCTTAACAAAATCTGGAAAGCCAACAATGTAAGCGTCGAAACTAAAACCAGAATATTCAACGCCTGCGTCAAATCGACATTATTATATGGGTGCGAAACATGGTCGCTAACGAGAGCCTCGACTCAGAAGATACAATCCTTTGTCAATAGAAGCCTGCGGCGTATTCTGAACATATGGCGGCCTGCAAGAGTCTCCAACGAAGAGCTATGGCAGCGTACCAAACAAAAGCCAATAGAGAAAGAAATTTTGAGACGCAAATATGGTTGGCTCGGCCACACACTTAGAAAACCGACAGTCATGGAACGCAGTCATGGAATGGAACCCGCAAGGAGTAAGGAGACGAGGTCGTCCCAAAACCACCTGGTGAAGAACAGTGGCAGCAGAAACAAGCAAATCCTTTAACCAGTTACGTTTTACTGCCAGAAACAGAGAGGAATGGAAGAAGTTTATAAATATTATTTGTGAATAGAATAAGTTCTAATTTTTAAATTTTTAATTTAATTTTTATAATGAAGAACATGTCTTAATAATAATAATAATTTAATTTAGAACTTAAAACATGTGATAATAATTATCGTGATTATCAGTGGCATATGGAATTCTATAGATTGAAATTTATTATCATGAGTTCATATCCATATGTAAAAAGTATATTTCTTGGTGTGTTTTGTAATATCCATTTCATCCACGGCAATTAAAGTTTAATTGATCTTTCGTACATAAAACATTTTTGTTCTCTAGATGTTATGTTATCTGCCCGAATGACTATTCTATAATATCTGATTGCTCCAATGCATACTCAAATAGATATATCAGGTAATGACGATCTGGATGCTGTCAGGAAGACATTGGAACGTATGCTATAATAAGAGACTTTTTTATAATTGAATGCTGAATCTATAAATCTAGATTTAATTTGTCTTTGTGTTAATTTTGGTTGAACATTACATAAGCGGTCACTATAAAGTTAGCTAGATAGACGCTCTGCAATTATTTCAGTCACTGACGGCTCTTGACTTCTTAATCATTGTAGATTGTTTAATTTTAAATACTCGTATTTAAATTATACAAAATTTTCTTATGGAAAAAGTTTTTATGTAACTATTTACGATTTTCTATTTTTACTATTATATAAAACTCTACTGACATTTGATAAGATATCATTCCTATATTATAATTACGGTTATATAAAATTCATCAACAAGGAAAGAGTGCATGCAGCAGAAACAAAATCATAATAATTTACTTTAATGTATTCTTATGGAAATTTCATCATCATCATCCGTGATTATACACCTAAGCCTATTTAATAACAGTCTTCCATTGTTCTCTGTTTTTTGCTTTTGTTCTCCAATTTCTTATGTTAATTTCTTCTAAGTCTTGTTGCACACTGTCTCTCCATCGTTTTTTTGGTCGCCCTCTTCTTCTGATGGTTCCTACTTCTTTCTCATAAATCATAAGTGGTACTCTCATATCCGGTATTCTTATCATATGTCCAACCCATCTTAATTCCTATTGATATATGTACTCATGATTTGCATACATATTTGTTTGAGTAAGTTTCCTCATCGCAAGAATGACTTACCCATATAGAAATCCGTACCTGCTCTTTATTATAATTTTGATTTTGTAGGCTTATCAATACATGTAATCCAACAAAAAAAATGAAATAAAAAAATTGAACTGGCCGTTATCAGAGAGTTTAGCATTAGCATTAACACATTTTAAGTGCAAACTCTTAAAAAACTGCTTAGTGCAACAGCTCTTCATTGATATAAAAAAACGGTTGATGAAGCCATCCATCAGTTTTTATAAAGACGTCAAGCCGGACGGTTGTGGGACTAGAATTAACAGCGGATTTGTTAACAATTAAACTTAATAATAAAAATTGTAATTTAATTAGTTTACAATTAATTATTATAATAATACGAAAACAAGCAAATTACGTGAATAAATAATAATTGACGCGTATACCTTAAAATGGTCGAAAAAGTGTTTAGGAATGATCGACTCACAAGTGCAACTGGTAAATAACCATGATCTATTAAAATGATTTTAATATTGTTTAATATTAAAATCTTAGTGCTTTGTAGAGTTGAGAGTTACGGAACTGATATAAATTAAATTATTAACATAGCTGAATTATAACCAAAATTCAATCATATTGCAGATTCAAATACAAGCGATTCCACAGATAGAACAATGGAATTACATTATGTCTGCGATAAGTTAGAACAATTTCAGGATAACATTGTTAAGGATATCGAAAAGCGCATATCGAGTATTAGAGATGAAATAATGCAACAGATACGTCAACGTGATTTACAAATAAATGAATTCAAGCACTTCGCTCAGTCACCCATAGAACGAAGACAACACTCTACCACTTGGAGTAATCGCACTTTAAAGGAAAGTGATAGACATGTAACAGATAGTACTCTAGATAGAAATGTTGTTGATTCAGCACAGTCCAAAAGAGACTGCTCTACGAAAAATACCACAAAACGCATGCTACCTGATAAGATTTTTGTGACACGTGAATCATACTTAACTGCGCTTTTGGAAGTCGATCACATGAAAGCTATATACCACATATTCTATATAATATTGTTCGTATTTTTTATGAATAGCATATGTCACGACTATTTTGTGGAGGGGAGGTGAGAATTAGATTCTCTAATTATATATAATGTAGTTAATTTGTTTTTCACATTACAGAGTTAATTTTGGTCTGGGCACTTTTAAATCTGGCCTAAATAAAATACACTACGTTTTGGCAATTTGGTTGGTCGATCATGTATTCATTTTCGGACTTTATTATGCATTTAAGTGTTGGGCCTATATACGTGATAAGCTACACAAGCAAGGTAAACTGATTGATTGAAACTATCAAGAAATGTCTAAAACTTTTTCCGGCTTTCTTTCTTCAGACAACTTATTACGTCTTTGGTCCATCTGCTGTTTAGTTGTTTATGTAAGCTTCCAATTACTTTTCGGGTATATAGCTTCAGCAGCTTGTCTCAAACTGGACTTACCATTCGTGACAGCATCTGTTCTCTTATTAGAGAGCACACGTCTGTTGATGAAAATGCATGCATATGTGCGCACCAATGCCGCAAGAGTTGTTACCGGAAAATTAAAGTCGGAACAGAAAACACAGAGTTTATCGAATTTACCGCCGTTCAGCTGCTATCTATATTTTTTATTCGCGCCTACATTGCTTTATCGTGATAGTTATCCGCGTACCACACAAATTCGTTGGAAGTTCGCCATATCTCGTTTAATGGAAGTGGTGGCTACAGCATTCCTCTATAGTTACATACATGAACGCCACATCAAAGCTAATTTTCACGATTACGGTATTGAAGAGCTTAATTTTTCCACATTGATTCCAAAGTTGTTTGGTATGATTATGCCCAGTATTGTTATGTTCCTTAGCGGATTCTATTTGATATTACATTCGTGGCTTAACTTCACTGCTGAGCTGTTACGCTTCGGAGACCGCATGTTTTACAAGAATTGGTGGACTTCATCTTCGTTGGAAGCTTATTATAGGGACTGGAACATTGTTGTTCATGATTGGCTTTATGAATACATCTACAAAGATTTCATAAATTATGTTTTCAAAGGATCCAAAACAGCTGCATCGCTTACGGTGTTTCTGATATCAGCCATTGTACATGAGCACATAATCTCATTCGCTCTGCAGTACTTCTTTCCGGTAATGTTTGTATGTTTCGCAGTTATAAGTGTGCCACTGATATTCTTAACACGCCAAGCGTTCCATAAAGCAAAAAACTTTGGTAACTTATTTCTCTGGGGCTCTTTAATAATTGGCAACAGCATAGTTTTTTCGCTTTACAGTATGGAGGTGTACGCACGGCGAAATTGTGCTAGAACGAATAATAGTTGGGTCGATTTGTTAATTCCATCAGTGTGGAGCTGTTACAGATCTTAACTGTTTATTCACCGGCAAGATTGTGATACAAATATATAATTAAGTTTTTTCTACTTTTCATGCAATACCTGTAAAGTTTATGATGTCTATAATTAATATAATTTAGTTACAAAATTTTTAATATTGCGCATTGACGTTATAGTTATAGTAATAAAAATGTAGATTAAGTCTTATGCAATAAGTTGAGAAGTATGTTTTTATATTATTATTTATTTTAACCAATAGTTTTTAAATATAAGCAAATATAAAACTTTACGTCAATTTTATAAATTTTATTGTTTAAGTCACCGCAACACAACTAATGAAAGATCCCTACTGGCTGTTGCTTTAATTATTTTGAATTTTACTACTCATTACGCACTCCTCACCACAAGCCTTGAGTACCATGCAAACGACTGCATAACCCTTATTGAAATCTGATTTTAAGCATTCCCCAAGCTCACCATCTGGTATTTTCAGGTCTTCGCGTAGCTCACCGTTATCAGACATCAATGCCAAGTAGCCATCATCGCTTATATCAGTTAACTGGTACTCCTCTTTCTTAATATTGGGCACATCCATATTGTGTGAGGTGGGGCAAATATCTTCGTACTTTTTACCATTAAATATATCAATGCCAACGATATGTGCCTTGGCGTGACCATGTTTACCAGTCTTTGAGGTTGACATGTCCACAATCTTACAAGGACGCCCCTTCAGTATAACATAACCATTTTTACGCAAAGCTGAACACTGCACTGGGTAACGATCTGCTGCACCAGATTCGGCAGTATCGAAATCATCATCCAAGTCAGCCATCTATGAAAAAAAAATAGAGGTCTGATTGTTATCTTATTAACTTCATTTATCACCTTCCTGGTCGATTCTTTAACACGAATAAAATTACTCAATTTAATATAAAATTTCTGTTTAAAATAATTGTTTTAGAAAGTTTTTGGAAAGTGTCAAGAAAATAAATGAAAAAGTGTCAAAAAATATTTGTCATTATATTATATTTACTTATTGATCCTCAGTTTTCTAAATTTTAAGCAGATAAATTACTTCTCAGCAACTGTGATATATAATCATGTTTATATATGCGCGTAGACGCATGAAAAAAAAAATACAACAGAGACGAGAAGTATGAAAAGAGAAGGAAAAAAAATGTTGGCAAATAAGAAAAATTATTTCTGTAAAAAACTCCCATAAAATAATATTTATTTTTTTCTATTTTCAAAAAAAAATTTAATAGAATATTGATCTACGGATTCTTCGTCTAATATAACATCAGCGCTTCGACAAGCTAATATAAAATAAATACAAGGATAAGAACTTCTGAATTAAAAAAAAATCAAACAAATTTTATATATTTTATTTATTGCGAATTTTTTACTTAATTAATTTTAATGACTTGATATGTTAATTGAGGAGTCAGCCTAACATGTGCTGTTAGGATGCCCGGCGCTAATGCACATACGGAATAGACTTTTGAGAATGTGTACTTTTACGGTAGAGGCAATAAAACTTTATAAAACTTCTATACTACTTTTTATCGTTGCAAAAGGGCTTAAAGACTTACTTTAAACACAGAAGGGGCACAATAGACCAGAAGGTTACAGTAAAAAAGGAGAAATGTTATTAATATTAAACGAACATTGTAATTTGGAGTGTTTATTTATATTATTAACCACTAATATATATTTAACACTAATATACCGTTTATATAAAACCCATTCTCATTTATTATAGCAAACCCAAACAGTTGGTATAAAATAGTCAAACCAGCTTTCATAGGATCTTAGAAAATTTTGGCTTGCATAATATTCCATGCTATATAGAGAAATAACAATACCATTGCCTACAACCAATAAACCCCATAAAAGTACATTTCCAAAAGTTTTGGGCAAATTACGTGTTATGTAGAACATAGGAACACTGAATACAAAGAAGAAGAAGAATAAGACCGGAAAGAAAGATTGCAATGCAAGAGACAAAATATGTTCATGAACAACAGCAGATATGAGAAAGACCATAAAAGCAGCAGCAGCTTTGGATCCTTTTAAAACATGTTGATAAAAATCCTTGTAAATGAACTCGTACAACCAATCATGCACCACAATGTTCCAGTTACGGTAATATGCGTCGAAAGATGATGAAGTCCACCAGTCTTTGTAAAATAGACGATCTCCAAATCGTAATATTTCGGCAGTAAAGTTCAGCCAAGAATGTAGTACAGTATAGAAACCGCATAAAAATATAATAATACTTGGCATAAACATACCAAATATCTTGACAATTACTGTGGAAACATGCACTTCCTCAAGACACATATTTAGGAAATGTGCCCGTATGTATCTTTCGTGTAAATAGCTGCAAATGAAAGCAACAGCCACAACTTCCATCAGACGTGTCAGTGCGAATTTCCAACGTATATGTGAAGTACGTGGATAACTATCTCGATAGATTAATGTGGGTGCGAAAAGGAAATACAGATACCTCCCAAACTTTGGTATTAGGAACAAACCATTATCGCTAGTGTCTTCAGCGCTATCATCTACTTTCAACTTTCCAGTGATTACTTTCGCCGCAATTAAACGTACATATGAGTGCATCTTCATAAGTAGTCGTGTGCTTTCTAGTAGAAGTACAACTGCACTAACGAAAGGTAAATCGAGTTTTAGGCACCATATAGAAGCTAGATAACCAAAATACAGCTGCGAGCTTATGTAGATGGCAAGGCAACTGAGTGACCAGTAACGCAGCATAAGATCTATATACATAATTTCCATAAATTTTGGGTAAATATGTTAAGTCAATTTATCTTACCACTTTTATAGATTTTCGAGCGCACTAGTGCCCATATTTTAAATGCGAAATACACTGTAAAGACAAAGACATGTTGGAAACACCAAACCACAAAAACATATTCGATCTTTTCAAAACCCGATTTAAAAGCCTCAAGTCCAATTTTTATTCTGAAATATGAAGTTTTAATATCATGATGCAAAATGATAGTAAATAAAGAATTCTCACTTTTCTTCTGCAAAATATGAGTAACAAAGCGTATTCAAAAACAAAACCAATAAAATAACATAGAATATATGGAGAATTGTTTTGATGTGATTCACTTTGAATAGAGCTGTCAAATAAGACTCTCGTGAAACAAAGAGCTTATCAGCAAAGTTTTGCTTTAATCTTTGCGGTAACCTTTTTGCTGAACTTTCCTGTGCAGCAGTGTTGTCTGTCTTTTTTGTGGGTGCATCAGGTCTAATAGCTTGATTTTTCGATTTATCAGATGATGATGATGGCATGAGTTTGTGTGGTGTAGTGGCATAATTCTGATATTGTAGGTTCCAGTTTTTAAATTCTCTGTTATTGAACTCATAGAAATCCATTTCTCCCACAATTTCATCAACGAAATCTGTCGTACGTTCACGTACATCTTCAAGTAATCGATGCTGGAACTTCTCCAATTTCATTCGCAAAAAGTTTAATTTCATTTGATGGTTAGTGAATTCCGTTGACTCTGGTGTTACCGTAAATAATTTAGTATGTGTCTTAGAATTTAAACATGTATTTTTACCATTTTGAATCGAAGAATTTCGAGAGCTTTCAACCATATTTGGCTAATACTTAGCAGGGTTCACAGAAAAATTTTTCCTCCGTTAATTTTATTAATATGTGGATTAATGTTTACCAGATGGATGCAATATAAAAACTACTTTCTCGTATCACTGCGAGTGTGAATTTTGTGTTTCTTGATAGATGGTGAAACAATCTTTCACTGCATCTAGACTGACTGTACTGAAGCTGATAAAAATTCTCTTTGCTTCTCAGTTTTGTGTTCTTTGGAATTAGCGTACTGCACGTGAATTGGATTGTGCGCTACATAATTGATCAAGATCAAGACTGAATGCTGAATATATTTATATATTTCACAACGTAATATATTTTTTCACGATGTTAGGTATTAACTAATTAATTTTTTATAAAGCAACTAATTATAAACTAATTTAGATATTAACATATAACTATATAATAATAACTAATTATAAACTAATTTAGATATGCTTGGCGATTACAAATTCTTTATGAGTAAAATTATATATCGACGTGCTTTCAAACTATATTTCTTTACTAAGAAAAACTGATTTTAATCAAAGATTTCTTTATATCATCAGTAGTCATACTCTAGTTGTACAGCATTCTTTTCGATTTTAAAAATATGTTATTTTCAAAACCCAGCAGAAATTCCCAATGCGTTGCATTCATAGATCTCTAATTTTGTATCTTCAATATATTGACAACTCAGACTGCATAAAAGATCTTTCAGGTCGCAGTGCATGCACAGCTTATCCATAATATTGACAACTCTTGTAACTGAGTAAACGTCCATAACATCGAATATCGACAACCGATATCGTACCGCACTTCTTCGACAGGCATTACTTTTGGTTTCCAACAGATCTCGTTCTGATAATATGACTCCCACGCACAACCAGTAACGTTCCTAACAGTTACTTTTAGCAGTTAAATTCATATATTCTTAACTAATGACGCAATTGCTACTGTACTACGTATGACATAGTCTATATGTTTGATTGTAGTGCATGCACACCAACTTGAGTGCAACATATTTGTGACTTCGTCATAAAGAGGCGAAATTCCTGACCCTAGACACATGTTTATATATTAATTACTCCAACTCCCTTCACATTAAACTATAACCCACTCATTTTCTAGTACTTGCACTTATTTGCTGATGATAATGTCTCACGGACAAGGTCTGTGATAATCATAGACTCAATACTGTTATTTTCGTAACACTAATTATATAATTTCGTAACACTAAATATTGTTTAATGTTGCAAAATAAAACATATTATTATTAATAAATTGTAGTTTTCGTGTATTTGAAATGATAGCAAAATGACTAATTAATTCAATCAATTAATTTATTAACAAGAAGGTGGGTTTGCAGTAGACATCTCTCTCTCTCTCTCTCTATCGGCAATTACATGCATTGATCGATGTAACTGCTTATAGATAGTTTCACCACAAACACGTATTTTTTTTAAAGTCTTCTTTACTTAGAATATCACCTATTATAGTCGTATATACTTGCTATTTGACGTATTTCCCGTAGAATATATTCTTACTTATTGTAGCACACCCAAATAGTTGGTAACAAATAGTCAGACCAATTTTCAAGGGATCTTGGATAATTTTGACGTGCGTAATATTCCATGCTATATAATGTTATAATAGTGCCATTGGTAAGAATTTGTAGACTCCAAAAAAGAAAATTTCCGATTTTTACTTTACCCGCAATGAGGAACATAGGTACACTGAATACAAAAAAGAAGAAAAATATGACTGGAAAGAATGAGTGAAATGCCAATGATAAAATATATTCATGGACAGCAGCAGAAACGAAAAATGTAAATGAGGCAGCGATAGCCTTCGAACGTCTGAAAACATATTCGTACAAATCCTTATAAATAAACTCGTACAACCAATCATGGATCGGAATGTTCCAACTGCGGAAGAATACGTCCACAGCTGATAAGCTCCACCAGTTTTTGTAAAACAGACGATCACCAAATCTTAATATTTCACTAGTAAAGTTAAGCCAGGAATGTTGTATCAAATAGAAACCACATAAAAATATGATAGCACCGGGCATTAACATACCGAACAGTTTATCAACTATTTGAGGCCCATGTAGCTCCTCAAGACACATATTAGCGAAATACACACGTATGTACCTCTCGTGTAAATAACTGTACATGAAAGCAACAGCCACAACTTCCATGAAACGTGTGAGCGCAAATTTCCAGCGGATATGCCTAGTACGCGGATAGCTGTCACGATAGAGTAGCGTTGGGGCGAAAAGAAAGTACACATAATTGCTAAATTTTAGCACTGATAAAGAGTTCAATGGATTATCAAGATTGTTATCACCACTATCCAATTTTAGATTTCCTGTGATTATTCGTCTTGCATTCAAACGTACAAATGAGTGCATCTTCATAAGTAGTCTTGTAGTTTCTAGTAGAAGCACACCTCCACATACAAAAGGCAAGTTCAATTTTAGACAATATATAGAAGCTTCGTACCCAAATAGCAGCTGAGAGCTTATGTAGATTATAAGGCAACCGATTGACCAGAAATATAGTAGAAAAGCTATTGGAAAATATTTGAAGAAATTCAGATAATTCAGAAGTTTCTAATAAAATTTCATCTTACGTAATTCATGAAGTTTAGAGCGTACCGATGCCCACAATTTGAATGCGAAATATAATAAAAAGACAAAGACATGTTGAAAACACCATATCAGAAATACATATTCGATCTTTTCAAAACCCGATTTAAATGCGTCAAGTCCAATCTTTATTCTGAAATATAAAGTTTCAATATGATGAGAAATAGAGTAAATATCAGAATTCTCTTACTTTTCTTCTGCAAAATATGAGTAACAAAGCGTATTCAAAAATAATACTAATAAAATAGCGTAGAATATGTAGAGAATTGTTTTGATATGATCCACTTCTAATAGAGCTGTCAAATAAGACTCTCGTGAAACAAAGACCTTTTCAGGCAATCTTTGTTTTTGCTTAACAATATTAATAGTGTTACTATTAGATTCCTGAGACGTTACTCTCACACGATTATATGATGTATATAGGCGGTTTTGATATTGTAGATTCAAATTCCTGAATTCATTTTTAGTGAATTCATATAAATGTATCTCTCTTATGACATCTTCCATCACATCTTTCAGTATGCGATGTTGGAACTTTTCTAGTTTGTGTCGCAAGAAGTTCAATTCTTTATCGATGTTATCGCCAGATGAATCTATGTAATTATACAAATATATTTGTGGATAAGATTTTATGTCTACATAAAGTGTCTTATATATATAATCTTCCAGGGTTACCATTTTGAGTGGAAGAATTTCGGAGGTTATGCACATCTTCACTGTCGGCTGAACTCGTAATCATTTTCGAATAATTTCATTTGAACTTTTTTGGATAAATTGTATTGTATGTGGCCGCGATTTTTGTTAATGCGTGAATCAATAATTCTCGAGTGTTGTCAGCATTGATACTGTATTCTGATCTTAGTCTGCTCACTGATTTTAGTTATAGGTGAATTGAAGAAAATCAGCTTTTGAAGCCGGTTTTCAAAAGCTTACTAAACTTTAATGTGCATACCATACTCGCGGCTATCCAGTTTTGTGTTGTATTAGGAATTAGTGCATTGCACTAAACTTGTTAGTGCGGTACACTGTTAAAATCGGTTTCTTGAAGATTTAAAACATAATTTATAAATACCAAAAAACAAACATTCCGACGTACATATTAATTTTGGTACTATGTGGTTCATGAATGATGGCTTTCTGTTTTTATACTATTTCGAAAAACAAACGATCTTTGAATGTTACTCAATCTTATACGCATCTCGTGAACAGTGTGTATCTACAGAGAGCTGTGTACATTCCAGTCAACTTAATAATGATAATTAGAACAGGGTATATATGCATTTTAATGATTTAACCTCATCGATTATATTGTGGACTTTGCGCACCTGAGCTAGATTCAATCTGTGTTGATGTGACAATGTCTTCTGATTTATTTTAATTGATGGTGAGTGTAAACATCTATGCGTTAAACTAATTCAATGGCATTATCACATAATTTTGAATATAAAAATATGATTTAGATTTACTTAGGAATTAAAAATATTTAGCTGTTAAAAGTGCAGAAATCAGAATCCATCGTACAACCTGCCTGAATAAGATTTTATTTCATTTCGATTTGCTCCCTAATACTTATTCGGTATGTTTATTTATGTTATCGTTTTGTATTACTGTAAGTGTTCTTAAAAATGGTGATAAGTAGGAAAGTTTTAAAATTACTTAATTACGTTATTAATCTTATCTATCTTAAAAAAGAAAACAGTGTCATAGGAATAAAAGATTGAAAAAGGTGCTCCCACGAACCTATTTTTATTATTAATATTTTATATTTATATTTAGTAAAAAATTATCTAAATCCAATTGTTTTTAAGAAGAGCAATCGTTTAATACTATACTTATTTTTAAGCAATTTTATTATAATATATTTTTGTTTCAAATATATAAGTTAAACGATGTCCCATTTAGATCCAGATTTGCGTAAATGGAGTCATGAGTTTTCATTTATGATTAGAGTCTATCATCATAATAAAAAAAATAAATTTTGCAGACAGGTTTTCCAATTAATATTGTATCGTACTATGCACAGTGCATCGTGCATTTGGAAGGTGCCGAACTGATGGTGTCTAAAAAAAATATTTACTGGGGATTAAAGAATATACACCCAGTACTTTGGTTAATCCTTTTTATATATAACAAATAAAATTTGATTAACACGTATTAATAAGATTAAAGTATTTAAATATTCACTTCTAATGTTAAAAGATTTAATTGCATTTGTTCTGTTTAAAAAAACAATTCCCAACATTCTTCCTCTCTCAATTGACTCTCCGATATTAGAGCCACAAATCTATGACTGCTTCTGAAAAGTAATATAAACCAGTACATTGTTTGAAAAACTGTTGTTTGTATTCATTTTAAATAGTTAATTTTAAGTTGTTTATGTTCTTGCTATTACATTATCTATATCAAATGCTAAGTAAATAAAAACAATATTCAAACAATACATAATAAATTAAAGTTATTTGGGAAAACGTAAAGCAGTTGAATAGTAAAATTTGAATAAGGCTCAGAAAATATGCTTAAGTAATATAATTAATTTATATTCATGTATGTTATGATTTTGGATTTATAACATAAAACAACTGCATCATACAATAAATACTTAAAACATTTATAGTTTCAATTATTGCTGCTTCAAGTTTACTTTATGTTATATTTCATAAGTTTTTCCAAATTGAAGAAGTTCAGCAACTGAACAATACAATTATATTTTTAATATAAGCTAAAAGTTTAATTTTTTTAAAGTATGATTTATGTTCTAAAAGCTTAATTAAAGTTATGAATATATATGCATGTTTCATTACATATATATTTTCATAAAGAATAACTATAGATAATATAAATCCAGCACTTTGCTAAAATATTTTTTTATATAAAACAAATATAAATTTAACATTCATAATTAATTTACAATTGTACAAATAAAAATATATAAATTTAATAAATTGTATTACAAATATAAAGTTCAATTCTTTGCACGAGTCACTGCGCGACAAATTCCCCATTGTTTTTAATCAAATCCAAAACAGTTGCCTACAAGTGCGGTTGCTACAACAATAGCACGCAAGCAGCGTTTGTCCAAATTAAAAACAATAAAGCATATTAGCTCACAACGATTTTAAACTAAACATAGCAACAAAAAGTATTACTTATAACCGAAAAGAAAAATTAAAAATTTCTCTAAAAACTTTTTAAATAAATATTTAGAAGTTTTGCATTTGTTTCGTTTTTACATCTCAATTGATACTTGGCTCTTATTCCTCAATTGCGATTATTTGCGGTGGTTTTGCGACATTTATTGTACCTTCTGTTGTTGCTGTTGCTGTTGCAATTGGTGTTGTGATAGCTGCTGCTGCTGTTGTTGTTGATGTTGTTGTTGTTGTTGTAGGATATATATTGTTATCGGTCGATGTATCCTGTTGCGATTTGTCGTTTGGTTTTTGCAGTGACTGTGCGGTTAATTGTCACTTTGCTGGTGTTGGTTCAACCACACGTTGGTAGCGGGGCTTATTGCGTGTAAATGGCAAGTACCGGTATTTTATCATATGCTAAAAGGAAGATAAACATATAGATAAGTTGGTTTTTTAAAAAAAATTTTTATTAAGAAACATACTTTTATTTGTCGTTTCATTGTTATGCAGAATAGTGTTATGAAATACATCACCAGTATTGGCCAGAACACAGGCACATTGAAGAAATCGAAGAATGTACATGTCAGACCAATAATTGTACTTTTCGTAATTGACAACCAAAATTTAAACTCCGGCAAGCGTCTTATAAACGGTCGGAACTCTTCATTATTGCGTGTCGGTAAATTTGGTCCATCATCTAAAAAGATTATACAATTTATTAAAAAAAATATTTTATCAAAACAAAATGGAAAAATAGCAAAAAAAACTGAATTCATAATTTAATTGAAATCTTTTTTAGTCCTGGATTTCATTATAACGTATATAGCACATAACTGGAAGCGTTAGTATATTGAGTAAAAAATATATTCTTAAGAGCAAAACTTAAGATTGAGATTAAGCAAAACTGAACATTAAAAATATTAAATATTAAAATAAAAATATACAGTTTTAATTGTTAATTATGTGGAGGCTAGCTGAGTCAGTTTTACTGTGGAGGCACTTGAGCACTTTTACTCTCTATTAACTGCGAGATTTCTTCATAGTCCCTCTCTACGCATTGACTGGATTATTGTTTATCACTTCAACAGACTAAACAATAACTGACCTCAAATCTGATTATTGTCAAAAGAAAATAACCGCGGTCAAAAGCTGACTAGTTTAAATTAGATTTTATAAAGTTTAAAACGATTGCTATTGATATCAAATTATATATCTTAAATTATTTAATCTTGTGGGGTCCAATTTAGTTAATATTTAAAATTTAATTTTTTGTAAGGAATTTCGAAACAAAATAGTTTTAGTATTTTTGAAACATGAACTGGAGATCTTAAGGTGTCTCTCAAAAAGAGCAAAAATACTATAATATTTAATGAAGCTATTGTTTTTGTTATTCATTCATTATTAAAAAAAAACCTACATATTCTCTATTTTCATGTCTATAGTGACGTATAAAACGTACAAATTCTACTATTCAAGTTGCTCGTGTTGAATTTTAAATGAAATAAATCTATATAGATATGAGTAACTAAGATTAATTAGCACAAAATTACTTACTTGATTATTTAAATTATCTAAAAATTTATTGATTAACTTTTTGTGTGGTTCATTAATTTGCAAACAGAAACTACTTATTCATGTTTTTAGGCAAGGCTAATAATTTTAAAAAATCAATAAACTATTAACGTAGCACATGCTTAAAAAGGGGTTAAATGGAAGTGGCTTTGCATAAACAATAATATAATTAATTTTACTATGAGTGACAAGGCAATTATTTTTGCATGTCATGCCATACGTGGCCATATTAGCTTGCAGTTAAGTTATGAGTATGCAAGTATATAAATATTAATAATATCATTTTGGAAGGAGCTCACGCGGACAGACAAGATTGAATTATGTTTACTTACCATCATTTTCGTATGGATCGAATTCTGGATCTATTTTTGGTGTTAAAAATGCAATAAATAAATTTAAATGATAAATGCCCAGCGCGTAGCAAACTATGTACCAGCCCTGGTAGACGAATATGCGCAGCAGGAAGAGTAATACAAGAACGCCAGCACCAATCCAACGAAGTTTTGCATGCGGTGTCCAACGATCAAGCGTCGACTGATACATCTAAAATAATTTTATTCATAATTTCTTGTTTTCATTAATTTTTGACATTACATCAAAATTAATTTTTTTTTTAATTTTTACAATTTTTTTAAACACAATTAACATGTTAACCATTCTTCACTCACTTGTGAAAAGCGCTGGAAAAATTTTTTAACGCCGCCACTGGACGACGTCGAACTCGTGTCTTCATTCATCATAATAATGTGTTATGATTGTTTTACTACTTAATACTACCAAACTTATTGTTAATATTGTTAAAAAAAACAAATTATGTTTATTTAAATAAAAAATTGAAAAATATTGCAATTGGATATATTCTAATTTTGATATTTCAATGCACCAATTTATAACATTTTTGTTATTTTTTTTCTTTCTGCACTAATTCTGCTTTGAGGTGACGTTTCTCCGGTTGCTTTTATTATTTTAATAAGGGCTGATTTTTTTTGGTTATAGCACGTATGAAATGAAAAATCTGAACGCCGTTAAATCATACAAATAGAATACGATTTTTTTAAAAATTACATGATTTTAGCTGTTTCTAACACATCTTTCACTTTTCTCTATGATATTACTAAATATAGTGAAGAAAGTTAAAAAAATGTTCACTTTCAATGTCGGCTTCAATTTTCTTTTCACCACGTCATTTATGTCAAAAAGGTGTGTACAAAAGAGATAGCCAAATAAAACTAAGTTGGTTGCGGTTTCAATCATTTAAAAACGTCAAAGTGAATAGTGATGCCAGTTTATTCAATTCAGTAATTAAAAAATTTTTACTATATTGTAAAAATGTTTCACTTATAAGTAATATAGCGTTTATACGGCGTTTACATTGTGTGACTAAAAGTAGATTAAAGCAAAAATCGAGATTAAAGTACTAACCACGTTGTTTAATTTCAGAATTCCCACACAAAAGTTAATCTTCATTTGGTCGAGATTAAGTTTTTATCTCCTTAGAAATGGTGATTATTTATCTGTACAACTCTGCAAAGAATTGGAAAATAAATGTCAACATCTATTCAAAACAAACAAATATTCAAAAATTTGAAAATGCGGAAGTGAGTAAATTCTTAATATATTTATTTAATAATAGTTTTGCACATAATTATAACTAAAATTTGTTATTATTATTATTATTAAATTATTGTTATAAAACTATTTATTAACTTTATATTACAACTTTTTTGCACAAAATTGTAATTAAATGCTTTATTTACAGAAATTTAACAAGCACACGAAACAAAACACAACAAGAGATACATCAAAATTAATCTCCAATATATAATGTAAACTGTAGAGATTAAAAATGAAGATTAACTTATTATCGGTCTCTTCATCTCACAATGTAAACGCAGTATAAGTGATTAAAGCGTGTGATGTTAAAATTTGAAGGTTTTAAAGATTTTTTGTAATAATATATAAGATTTTTTCTTATTTAAACATTTATAATATCTAAATTTCTGCAACTAAAATATTGACATTCGATTTAGATGCAATGCGTGAGTTGAGTTTTATTGTTGAAGCAGATGGTTATTTGCTTTAAATTTGCTTTTGATAAAATGTTATTATTGTATTTTAATGAAAGGTCATTATTTTTTTAATTGATGGAGTGGATAAGAAAGGATGGTAAAAAGATGAGTGATGCAATCAAAGTTTTATTTAATTTAATTTCAACTAAACTCTCTGATTATTGCATTAATGAGACATATGTCTCCATTCAAATGATAGATTTTCATCATCTGCTGTCAATTTAATTAAAATATAAAGACAAATTCTTATGTTATAAAGTTATGATAAACAGATTCGCTTAATTATATAGTAAGGTACATATTTGAATCATGAATGATGTCACATGAAAAATTGAACGCCAATATCCAAATTACTTAATTTTTTATAATAATCTTGTATATATTATATAATTATTTCTAAACCGTTCTATCAATAAATAAATACGAGTATATAAACGATTATTATTTTGTTAAGTTTCTTTTATTAACTTATTAAATATTTCACTTACATATATAAAATCTTTGGATCAGAATTCATAATTTCTTTAATAACTTAGATTTAAGTACACCTATTATAATAGTTATAATAGTATACTAAATATTTTTACACATAAAGATAAATATAATAACTAATTAATTGAAATACGTATTTGTATAGCTTAAATTTTATGACTACACGGTTTTGACGATAGCCTAAATTGTAGTAAAAAATGTATTTTTCAAATTTTTTTATGAATTAATATTTTTATATACTTTAGCTGAAGATTAACAACTTTTTTTTTTTAAATATACTTAAAGAAATTCGGCATTACAATGTAAATTTGAATAACTTTTTGTAAAAGTTCTTCAAAATTTTATGTTTTACTAATTTTACGAGCAGTTTTTAGAGACTAGGATTAAAAATAAGTAAAGTATATACTGATTCCAAAGACGATTTGAAATTGTGGTTGCATCTGAACTTAACGGGGCACTGTCCATCAATATGTGATATGGGCACAGGCTTGGTGGTTTTACATAATTTGTAAAGTTTGGATAGCGTATGATTTCTGAAGGCTGGAAGAAAATAATTTTTTAAATTAAAGAAACTGTGTTTGTAAATGTAAATACGTACAATGGACACCGATTCATTAGAAATGCGGCAGAATGTCATATGTTTACCCATAATCATGCCCTGTTCAACGCGTTTTGTGAAAAGTGGTTCTGACCAAGGTAATTGCTTCAAGTGCGCAAGAAATGTACGGTCATGAAATTCTACAGGATCTGATATGATGAGTTTATCTAAAAAATAAAACACAGCTCATTAGTTTTTTTCATATAAAGTTATATAATCTGCTTAAGAAAATACTCACTTAATAATGAATCCTCATAAAGCAATTCTTCTTCGGACATATACGAACGATTCTTTTTCGGTTTATCATATATTGAATTTGGTATATAGTCAAGCACATTGCTGCAAATATATATAAATATATAATGTCAGTGTACTTGAAAGAAAGTAAAACATTTTACCCGTTATATAGAAATAGGTTCTCCACATCAGTCATATTTAATGAGTAAAATTGATACACGCCAAAAGTTTCGAAGAATTCTCTCACCGGGGTCATACTATAACAGCCAGCTAAGTCGATTTTGGGATAATAGGTTATAAATGACAAACACATTTCTTGCTTTGTCGAATAGCCACCGAATGTGGGAACCTTACGGTTTGTGGTCTTTTAAATTAAAAAGAAAAATAAATATTCAGAAAAAAGTGTAAAATGTAATTTAATGTTAATTAAAACAATAATATACCACAGATAAAATCAAAAGTTGTGTAGTAGTGTTAAGTTTTACAGCTCACCTCGTAAGCACAATCCGTGATAATATAATCGCCCGGAAGAACCACAGTCTCGTTTTCTAACTGTCGGACTTGTTGAAAATTAAAGTCATAATTGTCATCTTCAATAATTCGGTCCAGTTCTTTGCCAGCGCGCACATGCCTTAATGCCATTTTACGTCCAGCCCGATGAGAATGTAAGGCACCAGAAACAATTTTTATTCCATCATCCGGAAACATCTAGTAAAAACGTAAGTTTATAAATTATATTATTTATATTTACGTATGCTGACTATGTACGTACCACATTTGAACAGGATGGCCCACAGATGCCAATATTTCTATAGAGTTTTTGACCGGGTGGTATGAGTTGAGTATCGGAAACTGAAACTCCTGATATCATAATTCCACCATCGTTCTTTCGTAGATGTCGTGAATAATGAATTCTAAAACCGGAATGATCGGAAACTGGCAAAATTAAAATATATGAAGTTAAAATAGCAATTAAGTGAGAAATTTAAATTTATTTAAATGTATAGGTATGCTTACATTTTACTGCATTCGGATTATCATAATGTATTTCCAGCATATAATATTTACCACCCTTTTGTCCTCCAAAAGGTATACCAACATGTGGTGGTAAGAATTGTCCTACAAATATTAGATTATATATTATGAATTATATATCTTCAACTACTAGTAATACTCACCAGTTGAGCCGATGGACCATACAGCTATTGGAGTTATACATGCATCCCAATCACGTGGTGTCAATAAATTACTGTTACATACAGCTCCTGCGCTTTTTGCCCACACGTCCCAAGACAATGGATCAGATCCTGGATATGATCTCGTTGAACATTCGAAAAGTGTCATGTGATGTACCATTGGCTGTGCTTTGGAACTGTAAAAGAATACATTCATAAATAAATATATTACATATAGACATATTTGCATATACGTATATGTATATTGTTTGAGATTAGATAAGAAAAATTTAGAAAAAATACTGCAGTTGACACAAGAGGTATCCTGTTGTCAACTGTAATTTATTCTGATTCGCAATGTGTATAGCCACATGCTGACTTTCGAGTCTCTTGGTAAGGCAAAAAATTGCTAGTTTTTATAAATTGATTGGAAATCGTCAAAACATTCCTTCGCATAAACAGAATTCACAGTTGCAGCATTTTTTTATGTTTTGCTGCAATTGATAATTAAATGAAGATAAATCTCATTCTTTCTTCAATTCATGAACTGTCAATAACACCAACTCTTATGGAAATGGTCTTATTGGGTTTTAAATAAATTTTTTATGTAAATGCATACAATGATCCCATAAATATTTTACTATTATTTACGTTAATAATACAAAATCCAGTGAAACGCATAAATAAGAAATTTTTAATCGTGGCTTACCTTTCTCTCGTGAGTAATGCTTCATACCCAATAATGTGATGTTTTTCGGTTAATATTGGTGCACGTATTATTTTACACCAATAGAGCGTGTCCATCGACTCATCAATGGTTACCTGTTAAAAAAAAATTAATTTTATATCTTTTGAACCTAGTTTTCATTAATGCCGCTTACTCACATTTTGCACCGTTACATCCCATTTATGTACATCGGCATGGCTACGCTGTGTTAAAGTAGGACTTACACTTTTTCGAAACATTGGCCCAAGCAGATGTAACGACTTCCAACCACGATTTTGGGCATGTCCCTTGAGGTTGCCATGAATGGGATCTGTGTCACCAAATGACCACAGTACTTTGATCGTATCACTCTAAAGAGTACAAAAGTATATTTCATTGAGAAATCGAATTATTATATATTATATATATATTATTATATATTGTTTAGTCTGCGATAAAAGTCATCGTAAATATAAGTCATCGACCATATATACATATATGGTCGTAAATATAAAATAACACACTGAAATAATTATATGATTAGTTAGCCTATGTATGAAGACCAAACGTATCCGTAAGCCTTCAGTTTTCAAAGTCTAAAGTAAGATACTGTTTCGGAACCAGAATGGCGTGATTTTTGTTGTGAAATAACTATATTATATGCAAATATATAAAAAAAGTATTATTGATTAATGCAACGTTATAATAAATTTAAAGTAAATAGTACGCCCTGGTAACCCTTGTATCTAACGGCACTAAGTGTTAAACGCGCTTAACGAAAGCACAAGATACAGAAATTTTCATAAAAGTTATATTTTTGTTTTATATTTTTTTTAAAATGAATCGTTCATTAATAGATTTTCAGAAGATTCACAAAGAAGCATCTTTTCTCCATAGGCAGAATTCACCGCACGATATGGTTGCAAAAAATGACTTATTAGGTTTGCAAGCATTCTGTAATGTAGCTAGAAATAACCCCGTTCAGCTGGATGTACTGGATGAATATAGCAATACGCCTTTGTTGAAGGCTTGTTATCTGGGTAGCTTAGTCTGCGCCAAAATGTTGCTGCAAGCGGGTGCTGATATTCAAGTTATAAATAGCATGGGTAAAGTGTATTTATATACACAATCAATCTTATGATATATTAGTTAATTTGATATTATTTAATTAAAGGACAAAATGCATTAACTTTAGCTACATACTCCCGCAACAAAACTTTAGTGCTAGAATTATTAAAATATCGAAGTTATGATGATTTTAATTCAACGTCTATGTTGCCAGCCCTAATGGTCGCGAAAATGCTCAAGAACCATGATCTCATTGCATTATTCAAGACTTTTACTCATAAGCACGATGATTTGACAACAGTGCATGGTAATATTTAAATAATTAATTTTTTTCTAAATATTTTTTATAGCGATTTTGTTTTAATTGATTTTTAATCTACTTTCAGGTTTGCAAGTCAATGAAGCCATGACTTTCAATTAGAATAAATTTTTAAATGCATAAGTTTTAATTTTAACAAATTGTTTTTTAATTTTTATTTTATTTAATTTTTTTTTATTATAAAAGTATATGGAACTTTTTTATATATTATTTACTTATATTTTATTTTTTGTTTTATGTAACTAATATTAAAATTGTGCAGTCGACATATATCCTTTAATGTTAATGTAACCAGTAATGTATGTAAACACTGTGTGTTAAGAAATTTTTAATAAAATCGATTTTATATACTATAAAACACTAATATTATATACTCATCAATAACTAAATGATTTGCAACTCATTAACCTTTTTGGACGCACTTTATTAGTTCCAGAAAACATATTAGTTTTATAAACATCTGGGTCCGATCTTCGCAGCCATTTTGGGAGTATTGTGTTTATTTATTGTAACAGTTAAATAAATATTTTTTGTGAGATTATTACTAATCGATTTATAAGGTACTCTTAGCATTAGATGTGCTGTTTGTACAAACATTTTTCCGATGGTAGTCTGAAGATTGGTAAATAACATAGACAGAGCAAATCAAGTTTAAATTAAATGTATTTTTTTGGTGGGTGGAAGCTGTTCTATTTTATTTCTTCCGTATTCTTCCGTATTTATTTCTTTATTTCTTCCTTCTTCTTATTTCTTACGTGAAGCATGGTATAGGTCAGCTAATCGTTTAGCCAGTTTTATGCCCGCTATTACGTGTCGGACATTTAATAGCTATATACCGTTCATCTGACATTCATTCTTCCTTTCAAATTTTTCAAATTATTTTTTATAGACAAGATAAAAAAATTTCCCAACCATGCTTAAAAAGTCCTGTATTCAGACTTCAGATATGAGTATTGGTCGCTGACAAGGAGACAGGTGTGTTCATAATTCGATCGTTTAATATTGTTTGTTAGTAGTTCTTGAAAATGTTTTTTACATTGACTAATATAGAAAAAAATATCAAATTAACATAAAAATAAATTATTTATGTGACCATTTTGAAAGCTTGTCAAAGTTTATATATTGTTTGCCTTAAATAAGGGCTGTCCAAAGCACGGGTCTTGGTCTACATGATTTTAAACCACTACAATTACGCGAATTTTCTTTTGGTGTACTGATAAATTAATAAAACTAATTTTTACATTATAACAGTTATCTATAAACGTATGTATTTGTTTTTGCGACCCTCAAATCTGTACAGTGATTGGTATTGGCCCACGATCGCATCTGGTCTGGACAGCCCTACCTTAAATGATTAAGTGGAAAAATTTGTTTGGAGGAAGTAATGTCAGTGCTATATCATATATACATTACAATCAGGTCATCTGATTTTATTTACTATTAATTACTAATTATTTAATAATTATTATAAACATAATTCTATGATAAGTTATTACATAAGTTTATTCTTTTTCTACATACACTTAAAGGAATATCGTATGGATCACAAGTTTCTATTTGCCTTGAAAATTCTACTTGTGTGTGCGTCGCATTTTGGAAACCATCGATTGCATTGTAATTTTGTGTGTCGTCCTGAATCGGAGCAGCATTGTTAGAAGTACCATGGCAGTCCTAGAAAAAAATACAAAAAATAAATAAAAACTCTATATCAATAAGCAGTAACATAATATATAATGGCTTCACAAGTGATAGTGAATTTCCAGCGATATTTTTATAAAATAATTTCTAACAATTTCCAACTAACTTTAAATTTATATTTACATATACTTATGTATATAATGCGTTCTATGCATACGTAAAAAAGTTATATATTTTTCTTACTTTTAGTTTAAAAAACAAAGTTAATTACTTGGAAGTTGTCAGGACTCATGTATCTCATTACACTTTGAGTTATATGCTCTTAGGTATATACTATTTTGTTGCCCATAATATTATCCTTATAGTGCTCAAATTCTTGTATAATTATCTTAATCAGAATTATTCACCAAGAAAGTAATTTCCATTTGAGTGCTAAGAAATGCTATTTTCGCAATTAAATCGTAATTTTATGCCAAAAACACATCAGTAAATTACTTTTGTTGTTGAGTTTAACAATACAAAACAAGAAAAAATATTTAGGAAACATATATTTTTAATATTGAATCATATATTGATTTCCTATTGCTTAGACGAATAAGTAAATCCTCTTTTAAAAATATTTAATTCATTGCATTAAAGTTAAATAACTGTGACCTTCACTTGGAATGATAGTTAGTTTGTTAGTTATGGTGGAGGGAGAAATGAGTCCTCCTCAATTAGCTAAAAAAGTCATTTTGAATCCACAAAACCTTGTAATAGTGGGTAGTAGAGAGAAGGTCAATCTAGAACCAGCCAGATGCATTTATAAAGACAAGAATCTGGCCAGAAACTTAAGCCCCCAGAAACTTAAGCCTAGTTCTGTCCAAACCTGGACATAGACACATTAGGTGTTTTGGTGTCCTTTCTTTGAGAGCTGATAGACACGCATTACAGGAGATACCACAGGGTAGGCCAAATCTAGCTCCATGCCGTCCAGTTCCCTGTAAAGACAGATATTAACCTCGATACCTCTGATTTGCTTCTGTGTATACTTGGAATGATTGTTTTAGTAAAAATGTAAGAATTAATTGCCTGGAGAGTTTATTTCAACTTTTTTTGCTCAATTCAATAATAACTGCAATATAATTAATATAATGCATTGTTATTTATTAGAAAATAGTTCTAATCTTATATGAAACATAAAAAACTTATTAGTTTATATAGAAATAAATAAAACTAATAAGAGTTGCTTTTTTAATTGTTATTTTTTCTTGAAGAATCTGTCAAGGATTTCATCTACCTTGACACCGCCGTAATGAACATCAATGATGTCAGCCTGGAGATCAGACGAAGAATCACCGTTGCTAATGATGCTACTATGGGTTCAGTAGGCAATTGAGATGTAGATCTCTCTCAATAAACGAAACTTACGCTCTATATGTCACTCATCCTTCCTGTGCTTCTGTATGGCGCAGAAATATGGACGCTTCGCAGACCGATGAAACAGTGCTGAGAGTGTTCGACAGAAAAGTTCTTCGTAAGATCTTTGGTCCTTTACGAATAGGCGACGATTACCGAACACGAATGAACCACGACATTGATATAATTCAACGAATTAACATTTAGCGGCTTCGCTGGCTAGGTCATGTCGTGAGAATGGATGAAGATGCTCCAGCAAAAGAGGTGTATGAAGCAGTAGTTGATGGAAGAAGACGTAGTGGTAGACCGTGTCTCTGGTGGAGTGATCAAGTTGAGGGAGCACTAACAGGACTTGATGTACGAGACTGGAGAAGGCGCGCACGCAACAGAGGCGCCTGGGCAGACATGCTGCGAAAGGTCGAAATTCCGTAACAGATTATTATGGGCAAATTAGTAAGAAAGTAAGTTTTCTTGAAAAATTTTTTTTAAAATATTTCGAAACTATTTAATTTATACTTTTAAATGATACACTAAGTACATCAATTATATTTTTTATAAGAAACCTCGGTTTAATTATCTATATAATCACACCAAAAAAAACTCCACCCAACTTAAAATCAAGTTTCAACAAGTGAATAAATATAAGTAACATTCAAACAGAATATAAAAGATATATAAAAAAGCAGTCAATATCTTGAAATAGGAGTGAAATCCTTCTAATGGTTTTCTATGTTTTCGTTCATTCTTTGGTTTGATTAATAAAACTGAAATTCATTCGAAGTGCTTGAAAAGGTAATTACATTAAATTTCATTAGACTAATTGGTACAAAATAATTGTGTTTCAGTTTTTATAAGGGCGAAAGAAGGGCGTGACCGTAGCAAGTATCTGAAAAAATGCATGTAATATTATACAATCTTTAATTTTGGTGTACTGTTGCTCGCTTTGAATTTGTATTTCGGCTGAGTAATAATTAAATGACTGATTGAGTCGTCGTATAATGAAGTAAGTGTTTAAGTCTTTTCGATTTTTCTTTTTTTCTATTTTAAGGAAGATAAAGAAGACTTAAATGTTGGTATTTGCATGTAAAAACTTTAATCTTAAAATACTTTAATCTAACCTAACCTATTAGAATTTCAAATGACAGTTTTGTAAATACAAATAACTACTCTTATTAAAACAAAGAAATATTATGTTAACCAGTAAGTCATTTCGATATAAAACTTCCATAACTGATATGAATTTTGCTAATTATGTCTTCACTAACCTACGTGAAAAAATAATGATTGGACGCATGTGGTTACTCTAAAATTCATCAACTTAATAATAGCCTCCTGTATCTTCCAATGTAAAAAATGATTTGTTACATTAAATAGTAAAGAGTTACTTTATTATTTCCTCGTGGAAGTTTTCCTTACAGCTTCTATTAGACTGTTATGATACGCTGCAGCATCTGGCAAGCAAAAACAAAGTGATGATTTGCTGGGTACCTGTTCACAGAGTAATCAATGGTAATGAGTCTGTCAACAGTCTTACGGGATCGGGAAACATATTGCGAATTAAATTGGTCGACAACTAGGTCTCTGATTAATAAATGGTTTTCAGCCGAGAGAAGTCGCTACTGTTCGACATTCCAGGTAACCGTCAGGCTAAAGAGCTGGTTCATTCCTACAGTTATGGTAAAGTATCTGTCTTCAGCAGAACAGAGTTGAGGTTGCTGGTGGGATATTGAACGGTTCACCATGGACAAAATGGGTCTGTCTGAAGAGATAGATTGTCGACTCTACTTAGAAGCAGAGGAGAGTTCCAGTCATATTCTTTGTGACTGCCCAGCCTTGATCTGGGCCAGGAGGAGGTCACTGGGACGAGAACTACTCTCCCCTTCTGACATTAGGAAATCCTCAACGACCGACATTCATTCCGGAAGGCGGAATGTCTTCTGTTTGGTTAGGGTCTGTTGCAGCACAAAAGATCGATCATGGTCCACTTCATTGGGAGCTAGTACCCTGTTTATTCCAATTCCTAACCTTATTATTTGTTAGTTTTTTGATGTGTTAAAATAAAATCAATTACATATTCGTTTACTTAATAACACTACACGATAAATAAATTATAAATAATTAACAGTTGAAACCATGTTTCAAATGTTGAACGTCACAAGCTATGTTAAATTTAAGCTATGTTAAATTTTTCAAATATTATCCTTTGTGGTACTTTCTTTAATGTACGTCCTTTTAGCATTAGAAATATTTTTGGATTTTCCTATAAGTGATAGTGCGGTAAGTGCTTTATCTTGGAAGCAAACTTAAATTTCTTTCTGAAAAGAACATGTCAACAGCGTTATTAATGATATCTTTTTTTACAGCGTTGAAAATTATTTAAATCACAATTCATGAAGGAATTTTAATGCTTTTATTTATTTTTCGCTTAAAAATTTGTTCAATTTATTGGAGCCAAAATAGCGAATGCAAATGAAATTTATCTAAAAACATATTGCCCGAGGATATTAGCAAGGAATTTAAGTGTGTACTTTTATCTTATAAATTATGACTAAAACTCCAGTGTGTACATCTATCTATATGCACTATCGAAATATCTACGTGTTCCAGCATTTTGAGTTCATATGTTCTAAGATACATATTTTATGTCCTCTTATTCGAAGGAAATTTGGTCGATCTGTGTGGGCTTCTGTTTGTACTTGTGTAAATAAATATCGTTACTTTAATAGGTTTCCATTATTTATACACATATGGAGTCATCAGTTAAAGTTATAAAGTGGCAAAAAGTTATAGCTTCAATTCATCAAAATAACCAAATACGAATTAAAACTTCATGATAATTTGCGTAGGAAAGTGTCAGTCACTATTTATCTTCTGTGGTGTGCGACATGTCCTTTGGATGATGTTGCTGTTTATTTATTAAAATATGTGTCATGAATGTTATAAATTATACAAGTAATGTCATCAACATATCAGACTCCACAATCTACATAATTGAATTTTTTTCTACTGAAAAGAAAAGCACCGCATATTTGCTGCAAATAAAAAAATGTCAAATTTATGTGGAAATGACAGTCATATTTTCATTTTCGTAATTTTCCTAATCTAATAATTTGCCAAACTGAAGAAGTGAATATCTCAATTTGTTGATTTAAAAGCTTCTGAATGGTCTTTATTCTTTAATTTATGAAACGCAGTATGAAATATGGAATAGGGTAGAGAAAAAGCAATGTAACGTACATGGACCTTATTTAATTATACTTTAATCAGTGAAATTTAACTGTTATCAGAGTAATCATTTTTTTAGTAATTGATTTTGGTTATATATTTATGTATATTTGTATATTTAAAAATGTTAAAAGATACAACTGTTATCAACCAATGTCGAAGTATATACATTGATATTTTATTAGATTTAAAGACTTTAAGGTTATATAAGTTTAACAGTAACAGTATTTAAACTGTAACTATGAGTGGATGTCAACAGGGGTACAGTCTTAGTAAAGCATTTACAATTCTTTATTATCTATGGAACATATTCGTCACTTAAAGCTTTCTGTGACTGTTTCAAAATTGATGAATAGTTAAAAATAGTTAAAAATTGGTAGTGAATTGCAAGGGTTGAAGGTTCGTAAGATTATACTATATGTATCTATCGGAAAATATACTACTAGTATGTTAAGAAATAAAAATGAAGCAAAAAATAAAAAATGGTTTACTTACAAACTTATTGACTTGCCTTCATATCACTAAGCAGTAAACAAAACTAAAATTTATATTTACTATAAAAAAATTGTTTATATTCAATAACAGTTTTAATGAATTTTAACATATGACATCGTCCTTCATCAAATCACATATATAACTTACAAGATGGTGTTGTATCTTGATGCTTCTCTTAGAACTATAGTTGCGCGAGGTTTAAGTATTGTGTGTATAATATGCATATAATCGATTCCTTGAAATTCTGTCCTACGCTATACTTGCACGCATATCTATTATAAATTTATTGTTAATATATTTTGTTATTTCAAGTTCTTTGACCTTAAAGCAAATATTTTACTTTAAGGTCAAAGAAGGTTTTTATTTTTCAAAGGAACGGATTTTTAGTAAGTGTTTAGAATGTGAAAGCAAAGTGCACAGTTTGTTACCGATTATATTATCATTTCTATGTGAATCTTTCAACTAACCCTACTCTGTAAAATATTGCGTACTAAAACCAAACACAAAAAAAAGACCCTTTTTTATCCTTTATCCTATTTATAATTTAAACGTATTAAAAAAATTCCGTACTATGTACTATATATAAGTTTTTTAAACATACACATATCCTTTCCTCATGTGTGCGAAGGCCAGGCAGGCAAAAAAGAGTTGCCTGTATATAAAATATTTTCCGATGAGTTCAAAATGTGGAACTAAGCACTGTCAAGCCACAACAAAATCCTTTAGAAAAAGTTTAAAGGAACTTAAATTTGCATTGTTTATGTTTAAGGAATTCGCAGGTGGCTTAAACGAGAAATAACAACGAAAGCTATTCAAAAAATTAAATAATAATTAAGGCAATTGTTTATTTTTTCTTTTCGGGGCAAACTAGTAAAATTATTTACTTAACTCATTACGAATTAAGCATTTTAGCAGCATTCGTTGCTGCAGCTGTTGGGCTTCCTTAAATTAAGAAAATCTTACGATGGCTTCGTAATTTCGACTTTTATGCGTGTGTAAATAAACACAAAAGAGGAAGAAGTTGAAACGTTAAGGACTTTGTAAAGTTTCACTGACCCAAAAGTTGAAATGTTGAAAATAAAAACTTTTAAAACCAAATTTTTATGTTTATATTTTTTAAGACAAATTAATTTCCTTAGTGATACTTTCGCACTTGTGAAATAATTTAATCCGCTACGTGAAGTCAATAAATTTGTATTTATTCGTTTTCAGTTTTGTATAAATTTTTTTTTCACTTCACTTAATTTAGCAAGACCCGAGTTCGATTACTGGTACTTGCAGTCTCAAAAAATTATTTACAAATAATTAAATACAAGAATTATTTCCAAGACCACTAATGATGGGTATTTAGCAATACACGAAACAGCTGTATGGTCACCCAAAAATTCAATTAATTAAAATAATATAAAAAAAATTTTTGTTGTTGTTGTTCACTACTGTTTGAAAAACCTCTTTAATTACTTTACTCAACCAAAAAAAAAACTTTGCGTTTGATTTATGGGAGAAGAAGTTGAAGATTTGTAAATTATTATCTTAGTGGGTGAGTGGGATGTCCCATTTTGTACTGAAAGATTATTATCTATTTAAAATGATTATATCTAATACTATGATTATCTTCTGCTTTAAGTCTACTCATATAAATACTCGTGTATAAATTTATTTATCAATTGAAATATACTCCAGTTTTTATTCTAAATTATGTGTAATGATTGACAATTTTTTTTGACTTGCATTTAATATATATTGATTTAAATGATAATATGAAATTGAACTGATCAGTTTTGTTCATTTTCATTTAAGTATATTCCAGATTACAGGTGTTGCACAGTATTAGCATCTTAATAAAGAATATTTTCAAGGGTGTAAAGAGTAATATGTAACTACTGTAGTAACTTTTAAGCAGGATATATTTATTCCACTTTCAGTGTTTTCATTTTTTTGTCCCATTTGACTATACCATGAATTATTAATTTGTTTGTTATGATTTTCTACTTTCACTTTCAGTAAAATAAAACATAGAATGGATATCCTATATAGAAGGGCCATATAAAGAAGTTTTAGAAAGAAATACGAACAATCGCTAGTTATTAGTTCTAGACCGCTAGTCGCCGACAGCTTTATTAGCACCATTGAACAGTAAAATACAGTATTTCTGCCCACTGGTGCTGGAATACAGGAAGATATCGCTATCGGTTCATTGATAGCATTTTACCAACATATTTAAAACACATTGAATGAAAACATACTTCTAGACTATATTATGAGTAAAGTTTGCAAATGCGAAAAAGGACTGATCTTCACAAAGCAACTCTAGAATTTAAATTTTACAGTTTATTTCTGCATACGAATGTGCCTTATGCGACAATAAACAGTTATTGACATGCAATGCAAAATGAAATACCTGGATGCATTGGTAACTGGCTTTAAAATCAATAAGACTTAAACAGAAGCTCTACTAGTACGCTAGTAAATACAAGAACTTCCGCACACAACAGCTTAAGAGAGCAAAATACATATATGAATATAGTATGTGAGTGATATATTACAGATATGAGTAAATAAGAGTAAATTAGAGTAAATAAATATTTATAAATAATTTTAAAGCAGGCTTTATTTAGATAAAATAGCGATTGCCTCAAATCTTAAAACTAACAAAGTCAAAATATTTATTGATTTTGCCTTATCCATTTATAGGTAGTCATGTTTCCAAAAAGATTACCGAGAAAATACATTTATACTTAAACAAAGGCTTTTAAAAAATAAGCAATTAATAGTGGCAGCGGCAGCGGTCAAGTGAAGAATGGATCTGCAGAAAACTGCGACAAAGTAAGTACTGCTTATTGATCGTACACTATGAAATTCTCAAGACAATTTGCGGCAATCGCAGTTAAATTCTAATGGGTCAATATAACTCATCGTTCACAGCGAGTTAATATTGACAATAAAAGTACGTCCTGAAATGATAATGACAGCAGAACCTCTTTCACTGAAAACATAACTTTAAATCCCTATCTTCTCTATAAAGAGGGAAAAAACAGTTTAGATATGTTTTCTATAGAGAGAGAAAAAAACAGTTCAGATACATGTTAGTTCTCAAAAATAAAAGATAAAAAAAAATTACACTATATCACTTCTACGTATAAGAAGAATATATCTTAAGTAAAAGATTATAATACGTAACTTTAATAAAATACCTTTAATGATAATGAAGAAACTTTTCTGTAAAGCTTTTATTTTATTATATTACACTATATATATATATAATTTAAATGTTTAACTCCAGCGAGATAGTTATAAATAAATCTAATATAGAGAGGGTCTCCAATAACTTTTGAATATTATTAAAAACATCTTTTCAAACTTAATATACTTTCTCTTGAGCTTTGGGCGAAGAGTATTAAAATTGTATGTTTATAATCCTTTTCGTTTGAATTAATGACCCCCATGGA